TGAGTAATGTCTAGTCTAGTGCATATCATTATATACATTAAGCTACCGACTGCAGATGCATAAGGAACCTTAGTCATTGTTGTCTTGTCTTTATTTGTCTTAGTTTACTCCTCATAAGTGAGGTTGAAGTGAACTCCCAAATGTGTACTTATGATTTTGGCATCCTGCATATTGAATTTCTCTAACATTTTCCCAATATATTTCTTTTGAGATAATATTAGGGAGCCTTCAAATTTATTTATGTTGATATTCGTGCATAAAATCTGTTTTGCAATACTCAAATTCTTCATCTCAAACTCTTCAGACAATTGTGTCTTCAATATTAGTTTCATCCATGTTAGAACTTGCAACTAACATATCATTAACATATAGGATAAACCAAAAATTTTCATATAACATTGATCCATGACACACTTCTTGTACCCTATCCTACTTATAAAACCATCAAATTTCAAGTACCACTGTCTAGGTGTTTGCTTCAACCCAAACAAACTCTTTGTCAACTTACAAAATAAATTCTATTTTCCTACAACTTAGAAACCCTCTGGTTGCACCATGTTGATGTCCTCATCAAGGTCATCATGTAAGAACGTTGTCTTAACATCTAACTGCTGTTTTATATGTAAATCCTCTGAAATCACAATACTCAACACAAGTCTAATAATGGTCATTTTAACTACTAGAGAAAAAAATCTCATTATACTTGAAATGAAATGTGCAAGATTAGATCAAAGAAATAAAAATTATCTCTTTTTCATTTTCTTTCAAATAGCTAACACGAAGTTAAGCTAACCTCATCGTTTTTTACATTTATGTTATATATAAAAAGAAGATTTTTTTTAACTGTTTTTTGCATTGTTTATAAGTTATGATAGTATAGTATTTTTTTATTAAATATATTATTATCTATAAAAAAGATATTATATAAGAAAAATAATTATTATGATCTTTATATTTATAAAAATAATAAAAAGACAAGAGAGAAAAAAATAGTTATTATAAAAAAAATAGTAGAAAGGATATGAGATACATCTAAAAAGTAGAGATAAAAAATAAAATAAAAAATATTTTAAAATAAATTGATAAAAAAATATAAATGAATAGATGTTAAAAAGTGCATGTTTTTTCATTAATATAAATAAAAGGGATGAGGTTCATACTTTATTGATTGTTTGTATTTATTATTACAACTCTTAACAGGACCACTATCTAAATAATTATAGTTTTATTGCTCGAAATATTATTTTTATATTATTATAGTTTGTTTTTTTATATAAATATTGATATCACGTATTTGATTGCTTAATTTATAAAATCAATTACTAAGAAAACAACATACTTTTATGATAATAAATTTGACAATAGATATTTAATTTTTGAAATTTTCTAAATTTACATACTTATATTTAATATATTATATTACACATTTATCATTGAAAAAAAATCTATCAAAAGTAAAAAATTTCAAAAATTAGTAATGGTATTACATAATATTATTATATTTTTAATGAATTAATTGGCAGTAAATAATTTTTATGGAAGGAATTTGTAATTTATTAATTTGAGAATGGTTATTAGTTGAGAATATATACATTATGTGAATGTCTGATTATTTGGATGATGGATAAGATAAATTAAAATCTATAATAATAATAATACTGCATCAATTTTTCCTTGATTGTATATAATCTCCACGTGAAAAAACATATCACGCTAATTTATTATGTAATGATATAAAATATATTATTTTACTTTCTATTTATTATTTTTTTTAATTTAAATATATTTGTCACATGAAAGGTTCTACGGAGGTGTGAACCCTCAAACTGTGTGGTTCCATCCCAGCAAGTCCCTTCATTTCTTCAGACTGAATCTAAAAAAAATTAAAAAAGACATAATAAGAAATTAAAAAGTTAGATGCCAATTGATTTGAACAGCATATCACATTTTTCTAACAGATGGAATGGAAAAAAAAAAAACTTGATAAAAACTAAAATTGTTTGAACCATGTAAAATAATTTTTCATTTTCAATATATTATCATCATTGAAAATAGTTGCAAAATTGTTTTTATTCAATTATTGATTCGTCTGAATCATATGAGCTATAATTTTGTTTCTGTTTAATTTTTGTCTTTATATATAATAATAGTCTTTACAAATTTTCTATAATAATGGTTTTAACTATTTATTATAATTTTAAATTTTAATTATTAATTATTAATGGCTATTTATTTTTAATTTTTTTGTTATAAAAAATATATATGTAATGAAGTAATATATATATATATATATATATATATATATAATTTTTTCTTAAATTATTTGATTTAAATATTTTTCTTTTATTTTAAAGAATTTTTTAAAATTAATAATAGAAATGATAAAATGGATTAATATTGAACGTTTCCGTTTAGTCATTGTTATTTTTAATATTTATTGTTAATAGATTTATTATTAATAGAAAAATAAGGACATAGCTTTGTATTAATGTGTTGTGATTGCGTCTATGAATTTTAACTCATTTATGAAAAATAACAATGAGACGTGTATAATGCATGTAACCTTCAAATTAATAGAGAAATGTGAGAAAGTCAGGTGTCATATGGAGAGAAAGTTATTTATACTCTTATATGATTAGTTGAGGATGGATTAGTAATTTTTTTATATATAAAACATCATTAACCAATAATATTTTCAATGAATTATGTTTATATTACAAGTTAATATTATGTTAAGATAATAAATAAAATTAATAATTTGTTAATATTAATAATTAAAATAAAAATAATTTAAATAATAATAATATTTATAAAAATAAATATATAAATAATTATTATTATTATTATATTAGCAATAATACTAATGATTATTTTAATAATAATAATCAAATTAAAATTAAAAATAAAAATTATTTAAATCATATTAATAATAATAATTCTTATTAAACAGTAGTTTGATAATCTTTAAACCTTTTTTATTAAAATATTTTTTATCATTCACATTAATCAAATTAATCAAATCATGCATAAATTTTAATAAACTCTTCTCTTATTTTGCTTATAAAAAAAAAAAGTGACAATCTAAAGCCATCCCACGAAAAGGAGTTGATAACAAAAAGAAAGTTGGTGACTCATAGGATGGACGGGCCTTTTATATTGAGTTTAAATTAAACATTAATTATTTTAATTACTATTTATATTTAGTAGATAAGTAATATGATAAAATAAAAAGTAAGACTCTTTGAGAATAATGTACAGTAAACCAATGAACTGTAAAATAATGTTTAAATGAATTTTTATCAGAGTTATATTTGCATGAAATATAAACCGTAAGCACTGAAATAAATTAATTAAGTTGACAATAATAAATTATATCGATATAATACTAAAATTAAATACAAAACATTTTTTAAAATTAAAAATAAAGAAACAGAGATATGGGGTGTAAGAAATATGCAATAAATGTTAAGAAGAAAAATTATAAATTGTTAAACAGAACATAAAAAGAAACATAAATAAGTTATTTTATTGCAAGGTTATGCATTTTATGTTTATTATTAAATATAAATTTAAGAGACATTTGAATGATTGGAATACATTAATTAAAATTAAAAATATTATTCTACCAATTAATTGTAGATTACAAAAATATTTTTAAAAATACATGAACAGATTTTTGAAAACAAAAATAGATTAAATAATTTTCGAAATTAATATGGTGAATTTTTTTATAGATAAATAAATAATAAAATTTAGATTAGGAAAAAAAAGTCTTCAAATAATATTTATTTATATTTTATTTTAAAAAAATGAAAATATGTACTTTTTTTTATCATGTATTAAAATAAGTTATAAATGTAATAAACGAATACAAAATTCAAACCCGCTTAATATATAATAACAAATATTTTTAATTGTTTTAAAATAGTGAAGATATTTTAATTTTTTTTACATTATTTCTTTATTTGTTAAAAATAAAGTCCACAAATCTAACAAATGAATGCATAATAACGAATGAACTTATCAATAAATTCGAATAAATAAACATTAAAGCCATTAAAATTTATTATCCTTTCTCCAATACTTTTCTGGTCATACCTTTCCCAAACCTTTTTGGTACAAAGGGAGGGCTCCAATAAACGAATCAATTAAATCAAATAAATATTCTAATCATTTTATTGGTTTAGTTTTTTAAACAAAACACTCTTAAAATTTTATCTCCAACAACTATCCCAATTAATGTCAAAGCAATATAATTATTCAAACGGATAGAAAAAAAATTGAACAAAATAAGTAGAATTTGCAATTAATTCACTTAATATATTTTCTGTCTAATAACTATTTGCCTTAAATAAATGTCAAAATCAGCACAAAAAACATTGCACAATTTTAATTGAATCCAAAACTAATGTAAAGGGTCTTAAATATATCTCTTTGAATATTTAAGATCTTAAATATCTTTCCTAATAAAAATATTTAATTGAAGCATTGGATAAAAAATATTCTATATGGTCTTTTAACCTGGATTATCTTTTACTCTTAATATAACAAACAACCAAAATATGGTTTTAATCTGGACATCCTAGGATTTATTTAAAACCTTCCATATAATGAAATGGTAAACATATTGTCAAAATAATATCCCAAGAAAGAAAAAGAATTTAAAGAAAGGTAAGAAAAATTTGTTTCCTAGTTTGATGGGTCTATTTGAAATTCTTGCACATCGTTTTCTTTGAAAGGACAAGTTTCTCTTTTTATACTTATGAACATGATTTTTTTTATTTTTTCTTATTCCATCACTGTGCATTAAAAATGTATGTATTTGATTAAATATTGTTTCATGCATTAAGTAGTGGAGATATGAAATTGATATTTTTCTCAAAATTGAGAAGACATGGCATATTTTCCTTCTGCAGTGGCCACAGTGGTGTCACATGTCTCTGAATAAATACCCCTGAAACTATCTCCTCCTCACACAAAAGCACCGCACAACCTCAACAATGTCAGGTGGTAGAGTATCCATGAAGCGCAAGAGGGAGGAGGAGTCACCCTCCAATGAACAAGGGCAAGAAGAGAATCAACTGTCATGCATGTTCTGCAACAAGAAGTTCCCAAGTCCTCAAGCTCTTGGAGGGCACCAGAATGCTCATAAGAAAGAACGATCTCTCCTTAATATAAAGCAAGAGGAACACATCATCAATGCTTTGGGGCATAGTCCTACAACCACAAATGTTTCCTTTCCCTTGCAACCTAGCACACCCTTTTATCCTTTGCCACATTCATACCTTCCCTCCTTCCAAGCTAGGACACCCTTTTATCCTCATTCACGTACATACCTTCCCTTGTTCCAAACTATGGCACCCTTTTATAGTGGTGCACAGATGAACTCCATGCCTCCTCCTGGATATGGCATCAACCTAGGGTTTTCATCTCAATGGATGACGAACCCTCCAAGTGCAGTTGCTGGTCCAAGTAATCCAACTCCAAATTCATCCTCACAAGTTTTGGACTTGACTCTCAAACTTTAATGTTTTTTTCATTTTAGGGTGCGCTTACTCTCAAACTATAGCCAATTTGATCACAAAATATATACAGCTTGACTTACAAATCCATTTTCTCCTTTTATTCTTTTGCTTTAGTTTGTCTTTGTGTTCTTGTTTAAGTTCAATAGTTATGGAATCATATATTCTAGTCCCTTGTACACACTCTTCTCAAATCAAAGAATAACTTGCGATGCTTAGCCCATGAATTTATTTTAGAGTACACCTTAGATTTTTATAATTTATAATTGAATCAAATAGCAACTCAATTATTTATGTAGATCTCACTTTAGTTCGTTTTTCATAAGCTATAAAGATATATAGAATCTGGTAAAGTGGTACAATCTCTATCCAAAAAAGATAAATCTGTGTAGACCAATTTTGCAGAATTACATTGAATTGTAACTAGTTATATGGTACAATATCTGTATATAACTGTAAGAATTATTTTAAACACATAAAAGTTATAAACAATATATTCTAGCCAATGGAAAATTTGGAACTGAGTTCGTTGTTTTTCTCCTTTATCTTTTACTCAACTCACAAAGTTATCTACCAAGTATATATATCATAGAGAATAAGAAAAATAATTATTTAACCTTTCAAATTAATTTGAATTATTTTTATTCAAAGTTTAAATCCTTGAATAATAGGGACTAGTTTTCTTTTTACATTTTGTTCACTTAAGATAAGGAAATGGAAGGTTGGCACACAGTACACGCTCACAAGAAAGTAACTTTTGGCAAAAACTTAGGATATTGTTCATCCAAAATAAACAAGGAAGGAGGATCGATATATTAAGATAAAAACTTTTGAAGGAGATCATCAATTTAAAATATTACTAACCGAAGATAAGAACCTTTTAAGAAAATAGAGGAATTACATTCTTTTTATAATTCTCATTTATCTCGAAATTGTGAAAAAATGTTAATTCATTGGAATAAGTGATAAATGACGGTTTAAAACCAACCACACAAACAATTTATGCAACTATTTATATTTTTTAATCTAAATTCTACGAGAAAGTAACTTCTCAATATCACATCAAAATCTTTGTTTCAAAACCATTATATATTCTATGCTCTAGTGATTTCCTGGAACTTTCCCTTCTCCAACACAATTAGGGACTCATCAAAATAAGTTCCCCATAACCAATTTCTCAGTATCTTCATGGAACTACCACGAACCTATCACAGGTCCACGCCGACCACCGCACTCCACCAATCATCACGAAGACTGTCATCACCAACATTAGAGAGGGTATAACAGTGTCACCACAAGAGAGGGACTGCCATTGCAGGAGAGAATGTCATCATAGGAGAATGAGGCCAATCGTGGGAGAAAAGGAGGACAAGTTATGGAGGAGCAAGAGATGGAGAAGAGTGGCGTGAGGGAGGGAGAAGATTGGTGAGGAACATGCGGGGCCGAGGTAAAAAATGAAGGATGAAAGAGGAAGTACACAATAAGGATATAGAGAATACGACAATGGTTCTAGTTAATGACTATCGTAATATATGTTATACAATAACGATTATTAAAAATTTATTATCGAATAACGATGATAGATATTTAATGATTTTTATCACAGGTAATTATAATTTTAAAAATGTCATAATATTAAACAATGATTCTAAAATAATGGTCAAGTGGATTTCAAATTGCACATATATTGAATGGGTTAATCATGTTTAAAATTACATTCCATATTCGTTACTTTATCTTTTTAGTTTTGTTTAAATCTATCCTAAATTTGTATTAATAGTTACTTATGTAATTAAACATAAAATAGTCCAATTTAACTTGCCAGTATTTTTTTCCTGGAATAAACAAGTAATAAATAGTAAATGCATGCATTTGAGTAAACATTTAATATATTATCTTACTTGTAATGAAATTACGTATGACAAAAATGTTTTAGTTTCAATTCCATTTTACAAATTATGAAAATATAATATATTAATTTGTTAACATACTGGTTTTAAAAGTTAGAAATGTTTGCATGTTACTATCATACATCCCCTTTTTTTAGTTAGAATATTTTATTAAGTTATTATAACTAGGAATTATTATATTGAAATACATCCTCGGTTCAAATTGCTAGCACCAAATGAAATTATATACACTAAAATATAATAGATTAGTTTAAGAACATAGTGAAGATTTAACATAAAACAAAATTTATATTTATTCTTAAGATTAGACTCACTTAGATGGCGAGTTGAAGCTAATAAGGGTATATGGAAATTTCATTATAAAGACGGAAATACAATGAAAATGCAAAAAAATACATCATTAGACGATATCTTAACTAAATGTTGTTAGTATTAATAAGGAGCGCAATAGATACGGGTATTAATAAAATGGGATGAGTTATACGTGAAGCATGGATGCATGAATGAAGTTATAATAAAATTGAAGTAATTTGCAGAGTTATATAAGCAACATTTAGCAGTATATGGGGAAGGATAAAGCTTCCGATAAAAATACAAAAATGAAAAGATATAATTACATAATCAAGGTGAAAACCCACTTAGACGACAAAGGGTAAAATGGTTTCAAGGAAAAAGAAAAAGAAAGTTGTAGAATGGAATGGATGGCATTACCAGCTAAGTTAACTATCGCTATTCCATCCTTCTCATAGGGGAGTTGTATCTACAACCTACACTAAGAATATGTTGGCATTAATGTACAATTACAAGCGACAGTGATTGGTCTCTTGCTTTGGTTACCTATCTTCCTAAAGTTCAGTAACTTTCATGATGTTCCATCTTTTGTTTTTGCGCTTCTTGTCCTCGAAAACGCAATGCAAAAGCTCAACAAAATCCTCCAAAAACGTTTCCCAGTCACCTTGGTTCAGGTCACCGAAGGAAATGCCTCCAACTTCACATTTAGACCCTTGTTCAGTTTCTTCTTTGCAGTTCTCGCTGTGGGAACCACGAGGGATGCTAGCCTTGATTTTTGAGCAAATGTTTTCCATTTCACTTGGTAACTCTTCAACACCACAAAATTCTCTAGTCATCATTTGGCCTATTTCAGCAAGACAAAGGCCAGCAGCAGCAGCTTTCTTCAACAAAATGGTACAAACAATAAGAACACGTATAGCGGACTCCCTCAGCAAAGGAATTTTAGTTCTTAAAATCTCTGCATCTTTAAAGGGATCAAGTTTGGAGATGTACTCGAGTTCATTGCCAGAGAAAGGAACAGAGGCTTGTGGCCAATGCAGCCACTCAAAATATGGATCATCCAGCCACTCAGGGAGGCAAAAGCCATGGTCAATGGGTACAAGGTCAGTAACCCTACCAACATAACAAGTATTATTATGGTCATGCGTCATCACAAGCATATTCCCTGCATGTCTATCAAGGTTCATGATCCTAATGTCTAGGATCCCAATACGGTGGACTGAAGCAGTTGAGAAGAAAGAAGGGCCCAACTCTCCTGCATCAAAACCGTGACCGACAAAGCGCTGTAGGGAGGCAACTTTAGGCATGTGAGAAGGAACAGTGGCTTCTTCATCAGAAGTGAAAAAGAATGAAGCATGAGAGAATTTGACTAAAGCTGTAGGAGGAACAGCCGCAAGGCCTCCATGATCAAGAAGATAAGCTGCTAACTCCCTGATACCAGTTTCACCAATGCGAATTGATTTCTTTAGGCCAGGTTGGCCCGGCATTTGACCCCCTAAGCCCTTTGGGTTGTTCAAGGCTAAAGGCTCTTCATCTACTGGCTTTGCTACAGCAATGTTGATGCCATTTTGGTTGCGGAAAACATAGGCACCACCTAGGCCACTCGGGAGGGGAATTGGATGGGCACCTGAGGCCATAGCTATGGCAACCTCAACAACTAGAGCATGTACTGGAGCTCCACTTCCATTAACAATCTCAATCCTTGGAGGGTGACAAGTGAGGTCTTCCCCTAGCAGTGTGGGTAGGGTGAGGCATGGAGTGGAGAAACTACGGTGAATATTTTCGGCTTGAAATGCTAGTTCAAAAGAGCGTGAAAGAGTACCACCAGTTTGGCTAAGTTCAAGAATGTTGGGATCAAGTTGACCGTAGGATTGGAGTTTGCATCTCTGGGATCGGCTAAATGGCTTAAACCCATGATGTGTGTCAATGGTCACAGCCATTTTGATCAATCTCATTCAGATTGTGAGAGTGGCTGCTGCAGTGCATTCCAAGGGACACTTCTTCTCCCCAAACACCCTGAAATTAGTTTTCTGAATACGATGGCATCTGCACGTTCATCACAACAACCCCACAAGTTATTCCTCTTTTCTCGCATCACAGCATGCTTGAAATTTCACTTTCACATCACATGCAATCTCTCTCTCTCTCTCTCTCTCTCTCTCTCTCTCTCTCTATATATATATATATATATATATATATATATATATATATATATATATATATTAAATGAGGAATTTAACCACATACAATATAACATTTTCATTTTATTATTCAATCATCATCTATCATATAAGATAACAGTATAGAATTTATCATTATTATGTTAAAAATTATGTTTCGGAGAAGAATGTATCAAGATTAAACTATAAATCTCAAGCAAGACAAATAGAATTCTTGCACGCAATCCAAGATTTGGTCCACGAATATGGTCATTCCTTTCAATATTTGTTTAGATGTCTACAATAGGGGAATAACATGCACGTAGCATTGATGGAACAATTGACATAGAATCTATGCTTCAATAACTCGATCGAACAATTATAAAAAATACTAGAAAATCTTCTGTCATATATATATATATACAACAACATCAACAACGAAGGGAGCCTGAGTAACAAACTGATCAATTAAAAACGCAACCAAATTTCTTACTTTGTATTGTCCTAGCGTAGAGGAAATTTTTCAAATGCTGGACACATCGCTAAAACTCTGGATACCAAATTAGCAGAAAAGCAGGCTAACTCTGCACATTTTTTTCTTGAATCCCTAATAACCTGCAAATTTCCCAACCAGAAAAATGTAAACAAGAAGGCTCAAAAGGAAGGAAACGAGCAACAGTACATGTCTCATGTCATAACACAAACAAAATTCATCCCTCGCTCCTCAGCACATAAACTAACACTATATTTAAAACCATATATTAAAACCTTAATTCAATCCTTCTCTAATATTTTGTAGGTATTTTACGCTTTTCTTCTCCAATATAAATCAAAATCATGAAACACAAACTGTCAAGAATCACATCTCACTATCATGATCACGAGATCTATAAGCCATTCCTTAATTAATTGTATACATAATTAGTCTGTTCAACAAAATGCGAGAAAAGATAATTGAAAGAGAAAACAAAGTTGAAAGCATGCATCCTGGTATGAATCATATGACTTATTTTCAAATGCTTTAAAATCATCGTAGAGACTAGAAAAGGGTTATTTGTGATGGATATATGCATACCCTGAACACTGTGAAGGTATTCAGGGAAACGAGAAGCAACGGGAGCGCGAGAGAATCAAACCGTCGCTGGAGATAAAACTCCACTTCCACTCCCACTCCCACTCCCACTCCCAAAGTTAATATCCCCCGTCTCTAAGAACAAACCCCTTCTCTCACCTTTTCAACATTTTCCTCTTTTTAAGTTTGTTCTTCTCTTTTGTCTTCTCCAACGTTGCTATTTTTGCTGCTCCACTCCCACATCGACACTTGGCCTCTTTTCCCGACACAAATACTATAGTATTTTATATGAAACGTGTTAATTTAGTATTTAACTAACTAACTAACAACCTTAAACTGTAACCGCTACTTGCTTCCTGCATGGCCCTATCACGATGTGACACCTGTCATGGACCAAAAATAAGGCTGTGGTGAGGTTGTTACGTTGCATGCTGGCATTTTCCTTTTGGTTTGTGGCTGTTACAAGGTTCTCGGTACCGCAGGTTTGTTTCCCCTGCGATTTCTTCTTTATTTTTTGCCCATAAAAACTGCCTCACAATCAGATTCGCTCCAACATGAACATTCATTGTGGGAAGTTGGACTTGTTTAATAACAGAACAATGAATCTATGTATGTCATGACTCATTTTGCTATAATCAGATGTTAATTTAATCTGAGCAAGTATTTTTCTCAATTTTGTAACCTGCTTCTAGTACACATCTCAACAAATTCCAGGGTTGAGTGCTCTACAATAAACATTAAGGTGTTTTGGAATATTTATTCCGTAAAAACAAAATATTATTATGGATTAAGTAATCTTTAATTATATATTAACCGCATTAAGAAATAGTTAAATATCACTATAGACTAAGTCATTCTTTTAAGTCTTTTTTGTTGAGAACTTCTCGCATAGACAAGAGAAGTATAATTATAAAGACATTCTTATATTTAAATTAGATGAGATGTAGATAATGTAATCAATTGATAATTAATATATTATGTTAGTTATAATGTTTATAAATGAACTTTTACTTATGGGTCTTACTAAAAGTCAATTATATTTTTAGACAATGATTATTTATCTAATTATTCCAACAATCGTACTTAATTATTTGTATTTTAGTATTGATATCTATGATTCTATCTATTGTATTGGTGTATGGAGAAGAGTTAAGTCTAAACCTCTTGGACACTCTTTTACACTTGTATTGAGTATTATATCTTGTGATATCTAACATATTTTAACCAATAAGAGAGCGAGTTGGACAATATTTATGAAAAATATAAGCGATGGTAACATCGTATACATAAAATCATATTTTTTATTATCTAGTGTCATATTGACATTCTCGAGTGCTTATTTATTTAAATTATTAAATAAGTTAAAATAATATTTTGTTTCTTTTACTGATGAGGTTCTCTCTTTTTTATCGATAAAACTTTAAAAACATAAGTTTATGTAAAAAAAGAAATCTTGTTTCAAATAAATGGATATAATTATTTCCATCAAATAATTGTTACGAAAAATTGTTCATATTTTATTATTCACCTATCATTTAATTTTTTATTATTTATTTATTTATCAATCTCTCAACAAGTTATATGTTTGTGTAAAATATAAAATTTACATTTTTTCACTTGACCTATGTAATATTATATATATCATAATTTTATAATTAATAATAGAAATTAATTGGATCATTACTCGTATATTATTCAATTTATATGGTTTCTTTAATATATTACAAATTAGACTTCTTCTCAATGAGTTCAGAATATTGGTGTAATATGATGCCATTAAGACTACACCTGTTTAACATAATTATAAAATACATGTAATCATAGAGAATACATAATAAAAAAACATACCAAATGCAACCTCTGTAGCCAAAGGTGGATTTTCTTATTGTTAAATGTTCGACAAGCATACCAAACCGTACGTGCAGTATTAAAATGAAAATTCAAGTATTGTTTTCAAAGAAATGTGCACTCACTTAGACTGTGTGGACATTTACTAGTCAAGACTGACAATTAGAGAGAAATCATTTTATAGTTTCAACTCCAATTTAGCAGAAATCAAACGAGAAAATTTTAAATCCGTAGAACTTATAATTTATAAATAATTATGGAATTGTATTTGATGAACTCATTGTAGCCAACTATTTACTTCAATACTCTTTGCACTATTTCAATATTTATACAATATCTTAGTTTCAATTCCTTAGAAAGAGAGTTTTGAACTATTAGTGAAATAAATTAATCCTTTTCACATATTGCTTGAGATTCAATTGTATAAAATGATTCAAAGTTGAAATATCATGAGGGAAACTCTAAGTTGTTAAATCTTAGTATTATAACTGTAAAATCATTTTCCCATTTACTGCGGCAATATAAGCATGGATAATCAAAACATACGTTTCGGACAAAGATTATATTATCGATTCTTATTATCCTAATCAATTTGATTTTTTTTCCTATTAAACTCCAAACGAGAATAAATTGATCCCATCGGTAGGTTTAATTGAAATTCCTAATTTGAATTGTACAAAATATCTAAACTTATATATGCGTACATTTCAAACATTTTCATAATAGCTAAAAGTTATAGGCACATAAACAATACATGTTTCGAGATTTATTTGCATTCTTATCAAGAAATATAAGGGAAACAGATGGAACATAGCACATATGATCCTTATCATTTATCTTCATCATAGCAGGTTATGTATAATGATTTGGAAGAGCAAATATGACAACATCAGCCACAATTTTTATTTGACAAGAACACCCTTTTCCGGGCTACTGGCAAACTTCTGCTTATCAGAAATAGCTTCTGCTAACACTGAAACAGCTTCTGCTACTGACGACACTGAAACAGCTTCTGCTACTGATAGTGCTGCCACTAAGCTGGCATCTATTTCTGAGTGTTCCTTAGGGAGTGACCTTCCACTCCAACGTACAAGATCTTTGATGCTGGTTTGGAGCTCAATATCTTTAATCAATGATTCCAAAGTCACATGCACACCTGACAGCAATCCAAAGCACACTTAGATCATAGTTTTACAAAAGGAGGTTCAATAGTAAGATTATCTAGCCCAGTTAAGGAAAAGCTTAGGACTTACGGTATCTCCAATAGTGCTTCGGATTTGTAGGGTCATTGATTGTCTCCTCTGCTGCAGGGCGTGTTGTATATTCTTCTTTTAATGCTAACAAGTCCTGTCCACATGGTCCACCAGATTAAGGGCATGAATTTTCATGTGCAGAGAAACAACTAAAATGAAATTGGTCCAGAGAGCCATAAACCGAAGTTTCTATCACCCTTAGCAACATGTCTGTGAGATTACCTGAAGAGGGAAGATTGCCCACATTGATGGGGCTTCAAAATGTTGCCTTATGATAAAATGTGCAACTTCTGGAACACATTGATCGGCCGGCAACTCATCGGACTCCATCACATTCTTGAAAAACCGAAGTCTTCTATCTTCGTCTTCTTCCCACCAAGCACGCAAGGTGGAACAATCGTGACATGAAGGGGCACATACCTGCACATAGCCACAAGTCACCAATCAAATCACAATCTTATAAAATTCCTCTAAATTTAAAAACTTGGATTAGTTCTCAATAATTATGAATTTAGGCTTAGCAGATTATATCAAGGAAACCCTAAATGTCTAATTTGTAGACTAGTTAATTTGTCAAAATACATTCAAATTCGTTGCTGAAGTTTACTAAACTAAAAACAAAATCCTTAAAGGAGATTTTATTTTTCAAATTCATCCTTGTTTTATATATTTTCTTCCCTGTTATCATTGAAATAATTTAATGATAGCATATAAAAATTTATCTAATACGAAAGATAAAAGTTAATATAAGGATTTTTTTTTATTATTCATTTATTTGAATCCAGAGACTACCTTCAAACCGCTATATTCTTTCTGAAACCAAATTGACCATTTTGCCTATCTAATTACATGTCAAGATAAACCATAAGAACCACCCAAAACTATATCCTTCACTTCATTGCAGCATAAAACAAAAAGACATTGTGAGTTACTGTTTTAGGTGTTTAGAGAGAGAAAATGATAGAATAGAGTGAATATTCTGAAAATGATGATTTGCTATAACATGTCTCAGTTGTGATACAATATGATGCAAAATATAAAGCACTGGCCCTATTTGTAGAAAGTAATCCTAAGATATAACCGACGATATTCTAAATTATTCTAAGATACAATTTGGATATTAGATATTCTTCGAATATTCTGATAGGCTTCTAAACACTTTAGTCAAAGTAAGATTTGTTTACAGAGGATTCATCATCCAGCCAACCGATGGATGGTATTGTACTTTTTATTTTTTTTCAAAATGGAACTGTGAAGTCTCAATGAAAATAGAAAGTTAATATGTTTCAATTAGTTCAATCAAGGGCGCAGAAATGAAATAAGTACAAGGACAAAGACAAGCAATAGGACAGAGAAGCCTTACCGTCATGTAGCTATACTGAGAAGGAATACCAAATTCCACATCAGGTTCATTGGGCATTCGCTGAATGCGCAACCCAACTAATCCCAGTTCTTGCATAACCTGAATTACAAATTTATAGTCAAATCCTTTCAGTGTACCCAAAATAAAATAAAAATAAAAAATTAATTCTTTCAATATCTTTGGGATAAGTCAGAATGTGTGTCTGCAAGTGAAATAAAGATAGATTTTCTTGATTAAGAGAGCTTGAGGAAACATGATGGGCATACAGGATGGACACAAGATGGAATGAGGCCCAAATCTTCACCACAGGCCAGCATGTCTGATGAATTTAGAAGTACAGGCAGGGTCTTCAATGCATTTTGCCTCCAAAGATTCTCTTGACGACAGAAATAGTAGTCATTGTATAATCTTTTGAGAACATTCTTGCTGTATAATATGACAAGCAATAAGAGATCTAGTGAGAAGATATCTCCATTAAGTCAACACACAGATTGCAGAAAAATAAATAAAAATGTACTGGAATGCAGAACAGTTTTCGGCATAGAACTAGGCTTAAAAGTGGCATAATTGTAGGAACCATCCTCAATGGACAGCACGCACAAGTCACAGTGATTATTAAGGTACCTATGATCATCCAAATCCTGGAAACTTGAGGTATCTTCAAGGTTGAAACGAGGATAAAATTTTCTTGGATACTCTGGATCTCGGATTAAAACTATGTTCTGCAAGCCAATAGCATAGAACAAAATGTAGGACTTGCAATACCAAAAACACACAGATAACATTCAAAATATATTAAAAAAAGCTAAATTTAAAATTGAAGAGTGTAAAATTAATTTACCATCCGTGTAAAGCATTTTATGCTACACATTAACTATAAAGTGCCACATCATTGCAGTAACTAAGGTTTTCATATTCAGTTCAGTTAAATAGTAGATTAAAACAACAGAACCATATTGTTCACTGAATAGAGTAAAACTCAACACAGTCTGTATAAGTCAAAATCAAATAAAAATTAATTAGTTTTAACTTTCCGAGTAAGAGGAATATGAACAAGGAAGCAAATTTGAGAAAGCGACCTGTGAAAGATCAAAGAGACTGCGTCGCAATTTGTCTTCACTCTCCAACAAGAGAGAACTTTCTGCACAAGCTTTCAGTTTGGAAGCAATTTTTTTCTCTGTGTTGCTATCCTCCTTGAACTAAAACCATTTATTGAAAATAAAACAAATTATTGAACAAGACATTTCAAAACTTGGATAGAATATATAATGATTAAAACAGAGTTGACAGCAAATTTAACCATTGAACGTAATACCTAGAATTAACAACCAAATTTGGACATTTTATGTTATCACATCATATATGACAAAATCTATATACCACTCAGATCAGTGCCACTGAATCCTACATGCTACATTGACTACACTTCTTTACCAACTACACCTCTTTACCAAAATGTAGCATGAGATTTACCTATAGGTACAGAAAAAACTTCAATCTTGAATGGTCAACACACTCGTGCCTAACAAATAAGTAACCAAGCAACCTAGATCGTTTTATCATTAAAAAATACTTCAATAAAAATCTTAGAAAATGTTTGTCTTATTATGTGAAAATATACTATCCACTGGATTTCTAAAAACAAATTTTATGTAAATCAGCGATTTCATTTCAAAACTATTTAATCTCTAATGCATTAAGGATAACATACAAAGCAGTAGAACTCTTGAGAAGTTGTCTTGCTGGTATATTCCAAGAAACCAAACCAAACTAGTGATTTCAGTCAGCTTAACAAAGGCTGATAATATTAAAAAACCCATGGATGATGTGGTGGGGGAGTTTGATAAAACTGAGCATTGAATACTAGAAATGTTCTAGTGGATTTTCAGGTCTTTCAAGGTTTTACAAAAATTAAAAAAATGGTTGCCACGTAAAACTTAACTGATTAATATATTATTGAATAGACTAATCTGAAAAATGTACAAATAATCAATTGAAATATGCCTAACTTTTTCAGTTTCATCCACTTAGGGTATATTTCTTTCTAGATTTGCAGTGTTTATTGTAATGAACGCAAATATGGGAATTCGAGCTTCGTACATTAATTAAATAAAAAAAACTAATGTAGCTTGATGCCAAAAGGCTTCTTGCAATGCAAATGTATGAGAGTCATTCTACGGAGTTTTACCCAAGCATATGCAAAGAGGTTGTTTCAAGATTTAAACCCTCAACCCAAGGCACAATATAACCATTGTGTTAGAATTTACATTCTTTAGAATCCCATGAAAATATTTTGTTTGCAATTTAATCCCATGATTAAAATGGATATCTTGCTTTTCCATAACCATGGACGTTAATTTGAAATTCACCCAACCATTAACTTCCACTCTCACCTCCTTCGGCCTCATTATTTTCTCCCATCTTATTACATTTTCTGTTCAACTAAAATGTGCAAAAGATTGTTCTTTGGATTAACATCCATCGAAAACATGATAGTGTGACACAAATTTCATTATATATATGAATATTTCATTCCTTAGCAAGGCCTAATTAAATAGTATGTAAAGTAGACTAAACAACATAGAACATAGATCTCCAACTGGCTTTAGAAAAACAACAGTTAGAGATTAAAATTGATCTTTAGAAATCTTGATCTTAAGTGGCTCTTGGGATTTGGGATGATTTTCTAATGTTAGGAGAGGGGACACTAATTACTCTTTGAAACTTGTTTATTTGACTCTGAAGTAAAACCATTACTTCATCAAGAAAATGAAAAATTACATTCTTAGATCAATTTTGTTTTGGGTAGGTTGAATTGAACACTGAATTTAGGTAGTACCATTAAGGATTTAGGGAATAAGATTAGGCAATTTGAGTGTATACTTTCTTATTTGTTATTGGTATTTATATGGTTATGCAATGATGCAGGGATTCTTCATTCAACCTTGGGAAATTTTATAGGGAATTTATGTAAATTTATGATCAAATCTAGAGGCATGTGCTCTCTAGGTATATAATCATACAAAAATCAATCAATACTAAACAGAAAACTATACACAAAAGGATTATCACCTCATAGAAGTTCTTGTCTATTTCATTTAGAAAAGTTGTTGCAACAAAAGTCCAAGCAGCTCCAAATTTTTCCTGAACAACAATAAATATGAAATAGTATAGCTTACCTTGAGAAACACATCTACAAGAGTAAAACACATTACAGAAATCCGGTCTGGAGGTAAATTTAATACATACAATGAAAATTCAGTTGTAATAGCCTAAATAGATAGACTACTAACCTGTAACAGTTCCCTCTTGATATATGGGCGACTTAAGCGATTAAAGTCCCATATTCCTTCTCTTTCAAGTTCTTCCTACAACAGATAAGGCATGAACTGTATATTGACTAAAGCAGAGCATGAAAAAAAGTTTCTTTAGCAAGTTAGAGAACTTCAGCACACATTTGCGGTATCAAGAGCCCTTTAAATTTAAAATATCATGAGGATACCTGACTAAGAGGTATAGATGGTCGGAATTTTCCAACTAGACCTGTCATAGCATGATCGGGAAGTTCCCATATTCGGAAGAATCCCAATATGTGATCAATCCTGTAAGCCGTAAAATATTTTGCCATCTGACATGGATTAAAAAAAAAAAAGAATATCTTCAGCCTCTATATATTGCATTGATATAGTCCACTTAAGGATAAGAACAAGAATTCAAAACCAAAACCTGTGTCAATCGAGCTCGCCACCAACCATAGTTGTCCTTTGACATTTCTTCCCAATTATAAGTAGGGAAACCCCAATTTTGGCCATTTTTATCAAAATAATCTGGAGGTGCCCCAGTAGAAGTGTTCATTCGGAACAAATTTGGATAAACCCAGGTGTCCACACTGTTTCTGTCAACTCCAATAGGAAGGTCCCCCTTTAATATCACTCCCTTCTTTCTTGCATACTCTGCAGCTTCTGATAACTGTCAGAGTCAGAAGAAAGTAAATGGTAAGATGTTATTTGTTTTAGTGATTTGATTGTCATGAAGAACTTACAGAGTATAGGGTTCAATTTAATTTACTTGTAAATGTAAATGATATTGAACATAGTAGTGGAAGCAAATTATCTCATAGTGCAGGCTGTCCTTGGATACAAGCTTCTCTAGCTGTAAACAATAGGAAATACAAAACCTCAAATACAACCATGTAAAAAGAAAAAAATAGAAAAATAAAATACACTAAGGTATACCTTATCTTCGGAATAATGAGCATAACGACCCCATTGACTGCGATCTGATGTTTCAAAGAAGTCCCGCAGGAAACAGAAAGCAGCATAGGGCTTCAACCAACCCTATTAACATCAAAATTAAAGCTGAGTCAGATGGAAGGTTGGCCTCTATCACCAGAAGTAGAGGGAGATCCAAAAAACTACGCACTAAAGATTAAGAGATTAATGGTTTTTCTAAAAATATGATTCATAATATTCTGATGTTCGATTCAGGAATTAACCCTGCCTAGTGAGAAAAGGAAAAAGGGCTGGTTTTTTGTTGTTTCTGCAAGAAATAATTGATCATGGCAAGTTTATTATAAAGGGGAGAGAAAAAAAGATAAAACATCTATTGGCAACATATTAAATAGGAACACAATGTAGTAGTAAGACCTCATTCTCAGAAAAGAACTCCTGGAAGGAACTTGAATTGAGAATCAAATCTTTCTCTTGAGAGAAAACTTTCTTAGCAATTGAGAGTTTTGTAGCCATTGTAGCTTCATAATCAACATCCTGGACACAAATTTAACTATAAGTTGCCATTTAACAATATGTTTAGTGTATAAAAAATATGAAGAAAGTAAAAACATATTTGCAGAAAATAAACCAGAAATAAAGCCCCACTTTACTCCCTAAAAATCCAAGTATCAGTCATTTTTTACCCTGACTTTACAAAATTCTTACTTGAATCTTGACTTGACAAAAAGCCATATTTACTTAAGCGCTTTTTTATGCAAAACAACTGTGATAATAAGGCTGAAAGGACTAAAATGAATAAACTTTTGTGAAGTTAGTGAGTAAAGTGAGAATTTTGTGAAGTTGGGAAGCGTAAATGACCACTCACAATTTCAAGGACTACAATGGAGGTTTACTCAGAACAAAGGTATCTAAATTTCTAAAAGTACTAAGTTTATTTATAGAGGTAAAAGTAAAGATTGGAATATGATAGAAATTGGATCGAAACAGGAAATAGAAAACAAGAATCCTTCATTCAAATGAATGAACACCACACACTCAAGAAATAGTTCTCAACATAATTTCTCCTAGGTAGTTCAAGGCACTTGGACCCTCCCAAAATTCCAAAGTATTCTCCTTTCCTACCTACCTACTAAAAACTTTCTCCTATTAGTAGCCTCAGTTCTACTAATTGACAGCTGTCAAAACAATCAATTACACCTTTTTTTTTAATTTGTATTCTTTGGAAGCAGCCCCGTTCTGTCACAGCATCCCAATTGTTTGTAAAAGGGTGTACTTTAATTTTCTCGTATTTCAACCATTAAATTGAATCTAAAAAATATTCTATTCAACTAACTGCAGCAATTGGATTTTCAAAAAAGATTGTTTTGCTTTTAAGCACCATATTATTTTAAAATTGATTCCATCTAACGGTGTTGTAGTGTTATTGCACTTAAAATAATTAAGTGTGGGGCGGCATTGAAGACTGAAAGTAATTTACCACCAATCATTACACCCTTGGCAACAAACATCCTTTCTCTTATACCAATAATCAGGATATAATGCTGTTTTCTCAGAACTGGTATTTATTTAAAACATTAGGAGAGACTAAAACCACAAATTGGAGTATCCTTTTTTATGGTATCAAGATATATGTAGATATGTGAAAACATTACCTTCCCATCTAATTGCTGCTTTGCCTTTTCAATATCTTTCTGTTTAAAGGAGACACAAAGCATTTAAAATATTCAGTATTTTGAAACTGCTACCATCGCTACATAATAGAGAATAAATTCCTAACATAACCTTGATCTCCTCTGGTATGTTCTTGGAAAGAGCCTGTACTCTCAGGTATAATGGATGCAATGCAAAGACTGATAGTGAACTGAAAAGCAAACAAATGCCAAATCACAAATTCAAGTCTATAATTAGTCCATGAAATGTTTAAAACAATAATTAGTCACTAGGAAAAAACTAAATCTATCATAAGTATCAAATTGGACTGAATGTCTCTCATCATCAAGAGAATCCCATTTAATAAGAATCTTTAATGTTATACAAGGAGACTTTTCCTATAACTAGACAAGGAAACTTTTTCTAATACATGACTAATTTACAATTATTCAAATCTATCCATTAATGAAATCGAACAAGTAAAAATAATAATATTGTAAAGAAATTATAGGGAAATCAACAAGACAGGGCCTTAAAAGATATAAGAAGTCTGAAGATCATTGGAGACATGAGGAAGATGAATGATGTGAGCATCATAGGCTGCATGGATATAGAGACAATCAACCTCAATGTGCTTGTTATGTTCATGAAACACAGGGATTGGCAGCAAATTGCAGAGCACTAGCCTCATGTTGAGGAAACTAAGTTCTCTCAATAATCCACAAAGCCAAACAATATCAAAACAAGTAGAGGATATAGCTCGGACATTGTTTCTTCTTCTTCATGAAATAAGAGCATGACCCAAAAATATACACCAACCAGAAACTAAATGACCATTATTCACACAACTAGCCCAGTCGACATCACTAGCAATCAATTGAATTGGGTTACATTACAGCCTGAGAATACGAGGTAGGCACTGTGACCTGAGCCAAAGTAGCAATAATGAGTGATGTGTGATCTCATGCATGAGAGAAACCATGTTGATTTGGTGCATTAATAGATCAAGAGGATTGCCAAAGACCAGAAACTTCAAGAACAAGAATTAGTTCAGGATTGGGAGGAGGTTCCAAAGTAACTACAGATCTCCATCTCTGATAAGCAAAGTTTGGCTTGAAATGCTCAATATGATCAGGTACATCATCAAATGGAGGAGGCACCACATGATCAAATTGAGATGAAAGATGTTTTTAATGAAATATTAATCCTCAAATAATACTACTTTTCAAGAAATACAGATGCAGTTAACCACATCATCATAACACACTTATCCTTTGTGAGATGAACTATAGCCCTGAAAAGCACATTGAACAAATTGCGCAATGAACTTATGATGCTCAAGAGATGGTAGATAAACAAACACACACAATCAAATGTACATAAAATTTGATAACTTGAAATTGTAAATCAAATAGCCAATAATATGGAGACAAATTCTCGACGAACTATAACCCTAAAAAGCACATTAAACAAATTGTGCAGCCAGCGACATTCAAGAGATGGTAGATGAACAAAACACACACAATCAAATGTATGTAAATTTTTAGAACTCAGATGTGAACCAAATAGTCGATAACATGGAGACACAAATTCCAAATGAACTATAGCCCAAAAAAGTACATTGAATAGATTGTGAAGTGAGTTTATGAAATTCAAGAGATGGTGCATGAACAAAACACATATAATTAAATCTATGTAAATTCTGATAACTAGATGTGAATCAAACAGCCAATAATATGGAGACACAAATTCCAGAAGAATTATAGCCCTAAAAAGCACATTGAACAGATTTTGCAATGAACTTAAACGTTCAATAGATGGTAGATGAACAAAACACACACAATCAAATGTATGTAGAATTGTATAACTTGGATGTCAACCAACTAGCCAATAATATGGGCACACAAATTCCGATGACAAATGATTAATAAGATATTCTGATGACAAATGATTAATAAGATATTCTGATGACAAATGATTAATAAGATAGGTGTTGATAAGATTTCTACTCAAAATTTATAAAACACTGAAGATGCAGCGAGCAAAGTGCTGACAACATTCAGAAGATGACCGTTTTTTTTGTTCATCCATTCCATTCTATTGAGGTACATAAGGACATGAGCATTAAGAAATTATGTCTTTTTGTGACAAAAATTCTTGAAATTTATGAGACACATATGCACCACCTTTATCAGATTCTAAAATTTTCAAATATGTAGAAAACTTATTTCCAACAAAGGAAACAAAAATCTGAAAAATATGTATAGTTTACCCTTATGGCAAAGAAAATACACTCATGTGAAATTGACTATTGTCATAAATGAACATTACTAAATACTATAATTACTATGAGAAGTAACCGGCAAAATACCCCATGTATCACTATGAACTATATCAAAACATTTGGTAGCACGATCATCAAGAAAATGGAAGGGTAAAATCTCACTTTTGCTAAGTTTGCATGAAAAACAATTAATAGACAATTCATGATCATAAGTCTGATCTTTATTTCCAAGAAGTCAAGTTGAAACAAATGTCTTAAAATTTGAGAGTTAGGGTGACTCAACCTTGAGCCACACATCACTATGATAATTATTAGTACTACAAACCAAAGATGAGGTTCTAGGAATAGAAACTGCAAGGGAAGTAGTCTTCCCACTTCAGGTCCCTTCCCCATCACTTATCCTGACACTGAATCATCATGTACAAGACAACCATTACAAGAGAAAGAGATGTTACATTTATTATCTACTAGCTCTCCAACTGAAATCAAATTAGTAGATGTTCCCGGTGACACAAAGACATTCTAAAAGTTCATAGAGCATAATACGAGAGTTCAGTTTTAGAGATGAAGCTCTAACACCAAATCAAATTGGACTAAATGCCACTCATCATTGAGAAAATCCCATTTAAATAAAGTCTTTGATGTTATAAAGGAACCTTTGCGTATAGCCATTCAAGGAAACTTTGCCTAATACATCATTAATTTACAGCTATTCAAATCTGTTAATTAATGAAATAAAACAGCAAGTAAATCAGCAAATAATATTGTAATGAAATTATATAGAAATCACTAAGGAATAAATAAATTAAGGATTTACCTAATTGGGTTGATAATAGGTGTGAAAAAAGCTCATGTCAAGTGGCCTAGTTTGATTTACTGATGGTGATTGTATCTAGGGGTATCAATATGGATTGTAACCTGTGAGCCAACCCGGCTCACCACGGGTTCGAGCCAAGTTAGGTTCAAGTTTTTTCATTTCTATCGATCATGGGTTAAAAATGAACCCGGCCCACTTAATCCACGGATTAAGCAAGTTCGAGTCGAGTTACTGTAGGTTGACCCGTAACCCACCATCATTTTAAATTTTAAAAATAATTATAATAATTTAGTAATCCTAATTGATGTTATCTTGCCTCTCCACCTCTACTCCATGTCACTACTACAAGTTAAACCCTCTCTCAAGTTTATCACCAATTATTCACCGTTACACCTAGGCCACATACCATCCTTCTGCTGCACCACCATGCCACCGTGTTTATTGTGTTTGCCGCACCACCACATTTCAGTTGTGTCACAGTGTTGGTCACGTTTTAGTTGTTCCATAGCTTTTGTCGTACCACAATGTTTCAGTAGCGCCACAACGTTTGCCACGCCACCACACCACCATACTACAGTTGCACCATAGGATTTGCCGTATTTCATTCGCATCACAGTGTTTGCCGTACCACGGCGCCATTGCATTTTAGTCCCACGATTCAGTCATGCTTATTAAAAAAAAAATTGAATAACAAAAAAATAAATGTGGGTTAGTGACCAACCCACCAACCCGTAGTGGATTTATTCGGGTTGTGAAATTTCAGGCTCACCATAAAATGAGCCGGGTTAAAGTCGTCTATTTTCAACTCAGTATGTGGTAAGTCAACCCATGTGAGCCGGTTTTGGCTCACTTTGACACCTCTAATTATATCTTATTATCTAGTAAAAGTTTGAAACAGTTTTAAATCAAAATGGCAATTTCAAACATGGAAAATAAAATATGTCAACCCAAGGTTGTAACAAAGATAAAAGAAGAGTGTTTAGCAACTTCAAACAAATTGTAATAAAATCAATTCCTACATCTTAAGTAATATTTTTTACCAAGTGTCTGATCCCTGGTACCCCTCTTTGGTAGAAGAAAGAAACAGCATGGGCTGCTTTAACTGCAGTGAGTGCTCTGAAAGAGAATAGTTAATTGTGCATAGATGAGAGGAGCACAACTGGTGTGATAAGTGGAGAGGAGAATGATTCTGATGCTACCGGCATAAGATGGGATAAACAGGAAAGGAAGATGCAAGGGGGGAAGGCAGTACTTTTGGTATTTGGGAGCAGGGTCTTTTTTTCTGTTTTCTTGTAATTTCAGTGCATTAAATTGGGTTAACTATGAATGAAGAACCTAGTCTCCATATTTTCTTTTCTGGAAAATCAAGTTATAATGTTTATTCTGTTTTCAATATCTCCATTTAATGTATAGAGTAAAAACCATGTTTGCAAATGACAGTTATAATGATATTCAAAAAGTACCTACATGTTTATCTGATCTCTATAATGATATTGAAGCTGCCATACCTGTATGGATAAGAATCCCACCACATCCCATGCACAGATGTATCATTGATTGGTAAAAGTTGAACTAAATGGAAACCAGATGCTACAGCCCAGTCAACTAGTAACTTAAGGTCAAGAAACTCTCCAACACCCAGATCAGATTCCGACCTAACAGAAAACATGGGTATAGCTACGCCAGCACCACGCCAAGGTGTTTCCTATCAAATAGAACCAACAACTTAAAACTACAAAAATAAAATAAAAATTAAAAAAACAAAAGAAGAACAATCTCTGAACCAATAATGTAATATCAGAATCATACCCGCATCATGCCATCTGACAGAATAATATATTTCACCTCATTCTTTGAGGAGTTAGTAGAAACTTCGCGGTTTGAACCACTTTCTATAGAGAAGTTCCCACTCCTGTCATATTTTCCATATCTATATGTGGACATTACTGTTAAGGAAAAACATAAAGCTCGATGAAATTACTTATTGAAACATATGAAACCAATAACCCCATAATTTCATCATATAGTTTATTGTATATGATGAAAAGTCCAAAATGGATATCTTATTGGAAAATCACTCCTGTGCATCAGACATTCAGCTTTCCAGACAGATTCACCAAAATAGCTGAGTTTTAGTCCATTTTCAGCTTTCCACTGTCCCAACTTTGTATTGCTACCAATGACATATATCTGCAAAAGTTAAAGAAAGGTCATTAATTCAAGGTACGTGGAAACCTTTTTCAATCACAAATCCGAGAGTACCATTATACACATAATGTTTTTAACGAATTCACAGTGCATGCAATAAACAACATTAGTCATTTGGGATAAAGAGGTCTCACTGATGAGTTTTTCTCTACATTTGGGCAGGAAATTTTGAACTGGACCAAGATAGCTTCTCCTAATCATCAAAAAAGAGTTAACTGAAAAATAATAAACCAACATTCATTCACAACCTAAAAAGTCCCAATATTTAACTTGAAACAATTTACCTTTCGGTTCAAAATTGATGTGGTTGACTCCTCCTGTCGCATGGCTCAAATCCCAGCTTTGCCGAAAAATGACATCTTTGAAAGCACTTCTGAAAGGGAGGGCATCTGAGCCAGCCTGGACTTGACAATAAAATAAGTAAAGATCTTGAGAATATAGTTTTAAAAACTAATAATTTTATTCTAACTAAAATTTATTGAATTATATTAAACTGCTAGAAGTAATTTCTACACTAACTTTGAGAGACTGCACCAAGTGAAATATTTTGGCAAAACTCTGAGCAAAAGGATCAAGGAATAATAGCTGATCGATGAATTATTTTATTCTATTGGCAACTGAGAAAATATCAGATTACTGAACCCAAGTGGAAAACAAGAAAAGCATCTTCAGAATCTGCACAATGTGCTCAATAATATTTTTGTATAGCTTTCATTCTTACAGCTTCCAAGTAAAGAACACACTGAAAAGGTCTACTACTGTGTAACATCATTTAACAAAATGAATCTAAATCTATCAGGTATGGCAGTAAAACTAAGATATATCTTTACAGAAGCAACAAAAAGCAACTTTAGAAAAGTGGAATGAGAGAAAGGCAGCACCTGCCAAAGATCACGGAACTCGATCTCCTGTCCACTCTGAACACCTTCAGGGAGTATCAGTTCGCGCTTCTTCCCCATCTCCCATCTCAGTACATTTTTCTTATCATCTACAACATAATAGCTGTACTGGCATTGGAACCCTCTTGGCACTGTGATGCTTCCACCCCAGATGAGCTCACTCCCCTGATGAATAACACTGAGCAACACACCCCTTTTCACATTCCAGGCACCAAGCACCGGTACAGAGCCACAAACCAGCAAGCTCTGACCCCATTGGGTAAAATACGGTATCCGAAAGCTTACTTTCACCGAATTCACGGACTTATTCCCAGAAAACAATCCTGGATTCACCATACCTTCCAAAACGAATAATGACAGAGCAAAAACAACTCAACTTCAGGCCAAAAATTGAATTTTTTATTTAAAAAAAGTGCAGCTATCAGTCCTGATGAAAGATCAGAGTCAGACAAATCCACAATATATGGAAAGCATCAAAGTTACAAGTTCGGGGCACTAAGCTCACATTCTATGGGACTCAGACCAACAAGAAAAAAATGAAATGATTAAGCAAAACTCAAGTTAACTTTTTTAGCATTTTTATGAAATGCTTCAATTCGTTCATAACATGTTTTTGCCTGGGATTCCAAATCGAACACCACATGCCCACTGAACATAATTAAATTAACAGAATTCCAGAAAGTGAAATGAGTTGAATAAAAATCTACCCTTTATGTGAAAACAAAGATACCTGGCTGGAGAGAGAAACAGGGAGAGTGATTCAGCTCACCTTTTCTTCAAGCAGACGATATGATATTGCGTATTTTAAATGGAAGTGTTGGAGAAGCCTTTGTCTGGTTCGAAGAGAAACAAAGTGGGGAGATATTTTGATTAAAAAAAAAAAAGTAGAATGTGCAAATTGAGAAGGAAAAACAAATAGAAGAAAGACGTTTCTAGCTCTTAGGATTGATACGTACTGTATGTATGGGTGACAGAGAGAGATGACATTGTGATATTTATTTCTCGATATGAGTGCGGGCAAGAACGTGTTGCTAATTGCTATCATCATACTTTCATCACTCATGGCTGATACTCATTTGATCTGTGATTCGGTAACTAAATCTCCCAAATCCTCGTTCTGTAATGGACTTCTCCAATTGACTGCGAAATACGAAAGTATTTCTTTTTTTTCTCAAAATACAAATAGAGAAAACTACTATTTACGTAATTTATTAACAATTCTTTACTAAAAAATAATTATGAAAATAAATAAATGATTCTAAAATCATTTGCTTTTTATCGTATTACTGAAAAAGTAAACGATCGATTTGATATCGAATAAGAAAATTGATAATTATTTAGTCCTTGAAAAAAAAAACAAAAAAACTTAACTTTACTACATAAACTAGGCATCTCAACGGTGAAGCAGCACGGTTTTTTTTTCTGTCAAACCTTTTTAATCATCCCATTCCTTTTTCCATCTTGGTCGAGTTAAAAGTATGTACATAAAAAAAATATTTTTTTATATTAAAATACTTATAATATTATATTTAAATATTTAATTATATATATATATAAATTAATTATTTTTAAAACTTTAATTCTAATAGAGTTAAAAATATATATGTGAAAAAAATATTTTTTTATATTAAAATATTTATAATAATAATAATAATATTATAATTATATATTATAATATTATATTTGATTATATATTATCATTTAAAATTTTAATAATATAAAATATATAATATATTAAAAAATATTTAATAAGTTATTTATTATTTAATTAGTTTAATATAATAAAAAGTTTAATTATTAATTATTTTCAATTTTTTAAATACAATTGTTTTATTAAAATAAAATTTTATCTATGATAAATAAAAATAATAAAATTTAGAAAATATGATATAATAAAACTTAATAATATTAAATTAAAAATAAAATAATATAATTTATTACTATAAATTGATGTAGAATATTAGAAAGAGCTAAAGAAGAATAAAAATTAACTTTTGAGTTTGTAAAATTGGTTGAAAATTTTGGAAAAAGTAAATTGATGGAAAAGATTAACAACATGTGAATGAATGTAAGAAAAAAAAGTAATAAAATTATTGATCTTTGAAAAAAATAAAAGGTTGAAAAGTGGGTTAAAAAAAAGTAAAGAAAGTGAAATGTAAAAAAGAAATAACTTTACATATGATAGGAGAAAGAAAATAAAATATTTTAAAAAATTAATATTTTAGAATTTAAATTTAGAATAATTCTAAAAATAATATATTTTAAAAGAAAGATTACTTAAATAAAATCTATATGAATTTATTTACTTAAACAGTATTTATTGTTCACTATTTTTCTTTTCTCTCATAAATTTTTTTATTTTTATTTTTTTCATTCACTTCTTATTTGTTTTTTTTTATCTTAAGTCTCTTGTTTATCTCTCCTCATCCCCTCGTCCGTTTATTCTCCTAATCAAACTATTATATTAAAATTTAAATATTTTAAAATAAATATTTTAAAGATAACATTGAAACTAAAAAATATTAATTATTTATTTAAAATTATAATTTGATGATAAATTATTTTATTTGTGATGATGTAAATAATTAATTTAAATTTTTTTATCATAATAAATAATTACTTATCCAATTAAAAAATATCAAATATTTATAGGTTACAAATATTTTTTATTTAATAATTTAATCTGTATATAAATAGGTTGAGTTATGATAATTAGTTAGATTAGGTAATTTTAAAAAAATATTTATTAAAAAATAATATGAAATAAATATTTAATTTTTTTCTTAATAAATATAACAAAACAATAATATGTGTAATATCTTAAATTTATCCTTTTTTTAATATAATATATTAAATTATAGTATTTATAGACTATTTATATATTTTTATTTTCCACTAATAATTGGAAGAAGAAAGCATGCGACATTTTGAGAGGCGAAAAAACGTGATTGTAAAGTTATGTTATACATTTATTGGTATGTCAATGAAAGTAAATTTGAGAATATTTCATTGGAAAACTCTGCGAAAGGTGATGCGACTTCAAACTTTGGGTTGTCAGGTATGACTTGTTGTGAATGAGAATGTAAGAAATCATCCAATAATACTTTGCAAGATTGATGTCAATCACAAACTTGATGAAATCATGTGGTGAAAGTTTGAAAGAACGAGTGGTGATAGAAAAGGTGTTGAGAACCCTTAATACTAGGTTCGATATAATTTTTGTAACTATCGAATAATCTAAGGATATCGATTTGTTAAAACTGGATAAATTGCAAGGGTTATTAGAGACTCACGAATTGCGGTTAATTTTGGTAAATGAGAGAAGGAAGAAGTTTGATGACAAAAGTTAAAAGTTAATTTTGGTAGGATATCATTCAACTAGTGCATATAAGTTGTATGATCCTATCAAGAAAAAGATAATCATCAATATAGATGTTGTTGTTGATGAGAAAGATTGTTGGACATAAGTTTAGATGGTGGAAAATCGAAGTGTTAGCTTTGAAGGTTCAGATGTTGCAAAAATTAAAGGAAAGATCGATTGTTGAAATCGAAGCAGGTGAAAATCGATCATTTTTTGAAATTGAGAAAGGAAGGAATTAATCGAGACTTCAACATAAGAAATCAAAAGTAGAAAAAATTGATCGATATTAGAAATAAAAAAGGAAAAAATCAACTGATTTTAGGAATTGAAGGAATGAAAAATCGACCTATAAGATCGATTAGAACACCAACGAGACTCAATGATTATGTGATCAATATTGATGAACTATTACAACAATTGGACAAATAATTGGAGAAACAGAGGATGAGAATCATCTTGTACATCTAACACTGTATGTTGATATTGAGACTAAACCAGTTTGCTTTGAAAATGCAATCAAGGATCTCAAGTGGACCAAAGTCATGAAAGATGAATTATTGGCAATCGAGAAGAATAAAACATGGAATCGAGGGCCAATTATCAAAATTACATGGATCGAGAAGACAAAAAGAATGATAAAGGATGTAGTAAGCATGAAAGAGTAGTTAATGTACATGATGACAAAGCCTTTGATTAATCGAAGGTCCGAAAAATTGCTTATTATTAGATCATCTAGAGTTATGCATAGAAACTAAGTAAAGCATAAAGGTTAATTATTAAAAATGATTTTCAATACACTAGAAAGCTTATTCACTGTATGAACGTTATACTAAAAGCAAAATAAAAGTAAAGACCTTGATAACCACTAAGTATGCATTATAATTTTGCATAAAAATGCATGTGCTTTAAGAAAAGTTAAAAAACCTTAGCATAACCTACACTATATAGTGTTAACACTTGACCACATCTCTCAAATGGCTCTTTTAACGTGGAATTATAAATAGCATCTTAGTCATGCTATGAAGACTAATGCTTAATCATGAATACTCATACGTGAATAATTTATGTGAAGACATTGTTCTAATTCTCATAGAAAAATAATCTTCATGTCTATGTCTTAAAAGAAGTCATACTTGTACATTCTTCACCTCATATATATCTTTTAAAAGAAAGATAGTTTACACTTGCAATATTTTTCATTGTGTGAAGTTGAACGTCTAGCATACAAAAAAATTGTCATATCCTTTTAACGAGAGTTAGAAACTTGTAACATTATCAAACATTTGTACAGAGACACTTGGAGAGGCTTCAAGTACTCGTTTGAGCTAGAAGTTGCTTGGTGTAAAATAATATTTGTGTGCTAAGAATAACCTTTGTACTTTTATTTTAACTCAAGGGATGTTAAAGGGTAACTAAGAGTGACTTTGTATATTCATTGTAAGTCAAGAGTTACAACTAAAAATATTTGTTTTTGCAATTTGATAACTACAACGAGAACCTTCTTATAAAAATCAAATGTTTTACCTACTTATTTGGTTTACTTGTTTACACATTCCATATTTTATATACTTATTTCTACATAACATTTTTAACTATTACTAAAATATAAAATGTTTTATTAACTTTAGACGTTTCTTCAAATTGTCTAACTAAAATAGATTACCAAGTGATACTTTAGTCATATTAACACTCTCATATGAGAGCTGGAGTAAGCAAATTTATCCGGGATCATATAACACTTTAGGTTAGCTAATAGTCCATTGCAAAAAAAAAAAAAAAATCTATTCACACTCACTATATTTTGTGAAGTTAACCTTAAATTTCACATAATTGATTATGTGTTTAACCATAATTAACAAACACATAATCAACTATGGTCGAAGCATATATTCAATTATGAACTTTTGTATAATCAATTATGGTCATTCTTAAATTTCAAATATATAGTGTATTAGTATGTAAAAAGTATATTTATAACTTTTTATAATTTTATAAATGCATTTAGGTGAACCTCTAAAAAAAGTCAATAATGTGATGGTGTTAGGTTGACTTTTGAGGTCTTTCATTAGCCTCCCATGGATATCAATTATACATTTTCCTTTTCATCAAATTCATTGGTCTTTTCATCTAGAAGCATACTTTAATGACCAAAACAAATAAAGGCTTAATGTTGAACCTTGATTATATTATACACATATATATGGTCAAATGTCTAAGAGTTAGAAAAATGCATCTTACCCTATCACTTGAACTAAAATCTAATATCTATTATAGTCTTTTCAAAGTGCATGAGAATAAAAAAGACTTCTTAAAATTATATTATGCCATGGGTAGAAATGGCAAAATAGGCTACGTTTGGTAGGTCGGTCCACCAATCCATCTTAAATTATAAGGATGAGTTTGAAATTCTAGTCCGTCAGCCCATTTTGTCTCATTTCACCTAGTTCGTCAATCCAGTAAGACAAAAGCAGGATAGAGCGAGCTGACCTACTTTTAAAAAGATATTTATATATTAAAATAAAAATAAAAAGAATTATAATTTAAAATATTATATCTTTTGGTGTTATGTTGATCAAATATGTAAATATATCATAATGTTATAATTTAAATCATAAATATTAACAATTTAATATTAAACTATTAATTATAATTAAACATTTTAACACAAAAATATAGTAATTTTCTCAATTTATTCAATAGAAGATATAAACTAATGAGTAAAAACTTAAAAAATATTCATATAATTAAGGATGAGTTTTTGAAACATATGAAAAAAGTAAGGTTACAAATAAGTTATCAGTCAAATCGGTCTGAACAATTCTTACCTTCAAGTCTTCTGTGTTTAGTTCAAAATGATGTGTGTCGATTAAAGAAGTTCATCTATGAGAACACTCTAATACATAAGTCAATATCAGTACAAGGATAATAGTAAAATAATGTATGAGTAGAAAATGAGAATATGAATGTGTGTATGTCAATAATAGAGTTATCTTAATTATAGGACTCTTTTCTTGTTATTTGATTTAACAAATAATATTATTTTCAATACCCAATTATGTTGATTATTTGGTGTTTCAAGATTTTCTTATTTACTAATTGGATTTATTCTTATTGATACTAAATATGTGCTAATTTAATATAATTAATTCTAAGAATCCTTTTTATTTTATACCACATATACAATTCATAAATTGGATAGATACAACTTTTTTCTAAGTCAATTCTCTTTTTTTTACTCTTACAATTAATATTTCTAACTTTTACCCTAAACCTTAAAAAAAAATTTAAGTTTCAAGCTACTTATAAAATTGAAAGGAATCACCTTGATACATATTTAGATTAGTCAACATTTGATTTTGATTTTAGAAAATATATGAATATTGTACAAAGGTGTAACAATAATAGTCAATGTTTAGCAAATCATTCATTAATAATTAAGGACTTGTTAAGTATTCATATCACTATAGTTATATCTGACTCTCTATTCAACATTGATTATATGATTTTTAATAAACATATAGGTTGTCTTTTGATTGAACATGTCAAACAATTAATTTTTACTTTGAATGGGAAGCATGGTGTTTGTGATGGTAATTTAATTAATTTAAATCTAATTTTTTTTTACTTTAATAACTATTTTTTAATATTCTAACTTTTTTTCTTCGGTTTCATGCAATATTATTGAGAGAAAGAGGAAAGTGACAAAGATGGAAAATTTGAGTCAACTTCTTTTATGAGTGCATCTAATAATCTTGAAAAGAAATATACTCAAGGGAAAAATTTAACTAATAAAAAAAGAAAACATTTACTTTTAATTTTATTTTTTTAATTAATTTTCTATCATTATAAGAAAATACTAATAATTGTCACTGGTATGAGTATAACAACATGTTAGAGTTGTTTGTTATTGAATCTTTTAACTTTGTTAATACTTAAACTAAGTATTTATTTGATTGAGGTGAATTTCAATTTCTTAGTGTAATGCATATTGACTTGAGATTGATTATCTATTTTATTTTTTTTAGGCATATTAGTTTCTTTTATCTCTTTATTAGAGATGACAAAACGGGTTAGGTTAAGTGAATCAGCCTACCTGCTCTCTTTAAATTAATGGGTCAAGTTTGTAGTTTTACCTTATCCGTTCGTTATAGTCCATCCTATTATCTTGATCGAGTCAAGGATAGGATGAAGTGAGTTAACTTTCTTCTAAAAAATTATTTACATATTAAATTAAAATAAAAAAAATTAATAATTTAAAATATTATATTTTTTGTGCTATGTTGTTAAAATATAAAATATACTATAATATTATAATTAAAATTATAAATTCTAATCAATTAAACTTAAATTATTTATTATAATTAAGTATTTTAACTCACAAATATATGATTATCTCAATTTATCCAATAAAAAATATTAATTAATGAGTATATATCTAAAAAATATTCATATAATTAAAAATATATACAAAATTATATGTGACAATATTGAAACAACCCATTTCTTATCTATTTTCCATGAATCAATGATGAGATGTGACAAAATAGAAGAGTTGACATATTTTATCAAGATTATCTAATTACCAATTATGTATAAATAGTTGAATTTTTATTTTTTTTATCTATCATCAATTTTCTAAATATTAAAAACTTGTCTTATAATTTCTAATAAATTAATTATAAAAAATAAAAATAAGATTACCGAATATTACATTGGTTAAATTTAGATTGAGTTTATAACTTTTTGAATTTAAATATTATAGGAAAAAAATCTAATTTAAATATTCTAATAACTCGTAATGCTTGGCTTCGAGAGTGTCCAAGTATAAAAAGAAGTCACGGAAGTATAGATTGAGAAATAAATAATTATTTTTACAACTCGTATGTATTTTTCTATTAGACCCAAATTCGCAGTTGTAAAAACAAGGACAAGACTTTTGACAGATGAGTATTCAAACAAAAGACGTCTGGAGTGATAAATTCTGGACGATCAATATTCTACACACTTGCTTATCAGACATTAGCTAATTTTATAAATCAGAAATATTTAGACAAAGAAGATTAAGATGGGGTATTGGACACCCTTTAAGATCATCCACTTGTTCCGTTTTGAAAAGTCCATTTCCTTCACCTGTCCAAAAAGTCAAAGGCAATTCACATGATAGTATCTTTTCCTTGTTGTCTTATCTTTGCATAAGCATAACTTTGCATAAGCATACATTGTATGCTCTCTTCTTTTTTTACTTTATGAACAAGAACCATGTGCAACTTATTAAATGCATCATATGCAAAATAGTAGTCACCGATACAGTTTGACGGTTCATTAGCTTCCCAAAAGAAAAAAGAGAAAATTTGAACACGTCATCCACATCTCTTAACTGAAAACACATGCATCCCAGTTTTTGTTTTTTACATTTAATATCTGCCACCGCCACTCAGATATGTTGTAGACTGGTAGTAGGAACAGTATACAAACATACTTTTGCTGTGCTATTTAGCTCGTGCATGGAGAGAATGGGATGTGAAGGGGACAGAATCTTAACATCAAAACCGTGTTACATTGGCATCATTGGTGGAACATTTTCCTGGTCAAGCTCGGTCAACATAGCCCTTTTGGCTGGCTTAGAGAAGCTTACACAACGATTTTATTGCAAGGGATTCTTGGAAACAAAGAAAATTGTTACTTTCTTCTTTTTCTTTCATTTTTTTTTTTTCATCTTACATCATAAAAGAGCAGTAATTTGTGTGATCAAGGCCTGCCACATGTTGACTTTGACCTGAAAACACATACACCATGTGGATCTCTTTAATCAACTATTTACACGCATCATGATGACAGCTTATATCCACTTAGATGGATGTGCAGAAGCTCGCCTTTTGCGCAGCTCATATTTGTTGTAGTACTGTAGTTTGTCTGGCCGAGTGATACAATTCCAGTGCTATGTTTATACACTAAACACAAGTACTATAAGCATTAAAAATGACCATTTAACAGTTCCAAGACAACCTGCAGAAGCTGCAAAAACAGGATATTAGTGTACAAGAAACAGTATTTCAATATGGATTGATAGCCATATATGTTGTATTCCAGCAGCATATTTGAAAAAGCTACTTCAGAAACACTTTTAGTAAAGGAGAACACGAAGAATGAATAAAAATAGTTTATCCAAACAATTCCTAAGAACTAAAGAGTTATCCTTCTTGCTGGTTAACCTAGAATTAGATGCAAAAGCTTGCAGAATTCGGATACGAGAAATATCCAACAAAGAGTTGCACACATGTATGACCCAACTAAAATATGATACTTAAGTTCCAAGTTTCAAGCAATCAAGAAAGATGTGCTCCAATACAAGAACAAATTCGAAAACTATTTATTACTGAACATACTTACATGATGATATCCCAGGAATATGAGTGTGATAATGTTGTGGGGCAAGTTCATTCTTAGGAGGGGGCTCCGCATGAGCAAAAGCTACATTCGGCAAAGGACTCAAGGCAGGTACTGAATGAGAGACATGAGTTGGGGGTTCAATATGCATTTTTGGTGATGCGGCAGGAACAGGATGATGTGGATTTATTATAATAGGGGCAACTGCAGGTGTTGGAGGATGAGCGTGCTTCCCAGACTTATGGGTAGACCTTTTTCTAATACCAAACCGGCAATTAGGAGGCTGAGATTGAGAATTTTTCCCTGGTGAAGGTGCACTTTCTGCGGCAGTAGGAGAACCAACCTTGGGTGGAGTCACACCCTTGCTGGGTGTGGGTGTAGGTGCAGGTGTATGTGTATGTGCATGTCTAGGTGTAGGTGTTGGTGCAGGTACAGGTATAGAGGGCACGGGAGAAATTGCAGGAGATAGATGAGTCTCATGGTGATGATGATGATGCTGGTGTTGATGATGCCGGTGATGGTGTGGAGAATGTTGCAGAGGAGCAGGAGCAGGTGACCATGCAGAACCACCACCATCATTGCCGTGAAGAGAGTGTTGCAAGATGGATGAAAGTCGGACCTGCTTAACCCTACCAAATTCAGTGTGATTCAAGCCTAGATTATGTGGTCCCATGATGGTTTGGGCCAATTGCTTTAGCCTCTCTTTCCATGGAGTAATCCCAACTGCAAGTAGAACTGTTGACTGGACAAGAGTAGGAGCATCAACTGTTGAACCTTCAGAATTCGATAAGCTGATATACAAGTTCTGCAATCAACCCAAAAACCCAATAAAAATCAGCATGGAGCATCCTATGACGAGTATTTCATCATTCAAACTGAGGATAATTAATTGTATTTACGTATAAGGAATTCCCCATCTAGGACAGTTTTCTGCAACACCAATAAACACAATACTCATGCTAGCAAACAAGCTTGCTCATTTTTTTCAATATGTAATGTTCTTTCTTACATAGTCCAATGTCAGACATGATTTGCTTAAGACAGAAAAATCCTAGAACAGAACTCTTACAGGAGAACAATGTGGTGACCATTGACACAACATATAATAAGATCTGAAAGTTGACCTCAAACAAAAGCTAGACAAAATGATACCATAAACAGTAAAAATAGAAAGACAAACCTCAAACGATGTCAGATATAACCCAGACTTTAGCTGACTAGTCAGCTCCTTAAAATTGGATTGTATTTGATAAATGGGGAAATTCAATTTAAAGCTGAATTTTGCTTGCCCTTTCTGCAGAGGAAATGCATTCTGCTGTGGAATTATAGTAATTCCTCCCTTCAATTTCAGCACTTCAAAAGAGTAGGGATCTCCGAACAAGGATGAAGAAGTAAGCTGGAGAATTGATTGGTGTATAACCAGGGATGTAAATGATGCTCTTATCAAACTGATGACTGCTGAGGACATTTCTGTGTCTTTATCGTCAGAATCAACTGCAAAAACCACTCTTGTCTTGTTCGGCCCAGGTAAGGTTTCTAGAAACAACACAGCTACCTGGATTTTTTTAACAAAAAGAGAAAGGTATGAGTGTGTAAACATTAATAAAGGATATGGAAGGGAAATAGTAAGAGAGGTACTTTGCTAGAGGGAGCATCTATCTCATCAAAAATTTGATCAGCAAGCTGAAATTTGTTATCTTCTAGCAAAGAAACAGATTTATTGACAATAAAGCTTGCAACAATATCATGATCTGCAAATATAAACAATAGCATTAAGCAAATAGAGCTTAAAGCATTAAAAGAGTTTGACTTTCAAGGTATTGTTATCATAGTATAACTCTAGTATGTCAATGCATGAGTAAGTAATAGAACTTCACTAGCAATGTCTCAAAACTTATCCATAAATTGTAACAAACAGATGCATGAGGAAAATATAATAAAGCACGCTAAACTGGGTGGAGATGCTTATTATAACTTTTTCAAGAGAAAGAGAAATTGAATAATGAGATTTGAAGAATCATGTTATACAGAGGTACTACACAAAGTGTATAAAGGAAATATATTTAGAACCACAAAATTGCTTGTATTACACCACCCGTTGCTACTTCATCTCCCCCCCCCATAAAAAAGAAGCCCTTCTTATTCTTCAGTTAATTACTTATATGTTATATAGCCTATTCATTCAATCTTCCATCAGTAAGAAAATATCTGTGGCAATGAACACTTAGAATCTCTTATGGTGAAGAATATGCTGAGCACATTGGCTGCATTATGAGGTAGAATTTTGAAATGACATCTAGTGGCTGGGCACATGGTGTCACAATGTCATGGTAATACTATTATGGCCTTGTAACTAAATTACCCAAATCAAGCAAGTTTCAAAATCTCAACTTTTCAAGATTACAAACAAAACTAAGAAAAAAAAACTATCAAATAAAGTCTATTGACATATTCCCATCTCCAATCACAGCAAAGCCAATGCTTGGATAGACCAAGTCATCCAATTGACATCAACAGAAGTCATCATAAAACTAGCGTCACGCAGCCTAAAACAGCAAAATTGTTTAATGTATATCCATCACTAAGAAAGAAAACCCCTTTCGATAGGATATCATTTACAACCATAACTCGTTTATAAACATCTCAAAAGAATAAATATACCTAGTTTGTAATTTGTGAAAAAATACAGTCAAAATAAACAATCACCAAATATAGCAAATAAAGAAAAATAAATAGAGCTCACACAACTCCAAATCTCCAAAACCATTTTAAAAAAGGAACTAAACAAGCTCATAAAAATCCTAAAACCTTACTTAAAATAGCTATAATTAAAGTAACTTCCCAAAACGAAGAAAACTCGATCCGACAAACAAGCTCTCTTTCCAACAATTTCCAAATCCCTTCAATTGGCCAATTAACAAACCCGTCGTAATTAAGAGACGAAATAACCAATTAAAACACCCCCATTTAAATAACTAACCAAAATAACTGAATTTATTTCCTGCTGAGACATTTATCATGCATAAAAACCTCTAATTATTTTTTTCCTTTTTTGTTCTTGCATACTAGACCATCCTGCTGAAACCTATATGTTATAAGACCATAAAACTAGTTAAACTGTATCAACCCCGTGTCTGTTTTTCCACACCTTCACTGATAAAATCTAACCCAAAGCTCAAAATTAAATTATTTTCACCCGCATTTCTCCAACATGCTCCCAAATCGGGTAAACCTAAAACCTCATTTCCTCCGAAACAAAAACAGAAACAGATCTAACCCCACGAAACAATGCCGCCAGCCACAAGACCCCACCTTTGAATCTGGAACCTCCATGCAGGTTCCTCCGATCCGCGAGGCTCAGAAAAGGGGGCAACCAAAACGCCGCGGAGAGGAACAGAGCGACCGACATGACCAATACGAGGATGCATCTGGTGCCAACAAGCTTCCGAATCCGAGAACAGCGGCACCGACACTCCGCATTCTGCGGCGAATCCTCAGATGGAGGCAGAGGCTGCTGTTCTTCTTCGCTCTTTCCCATTGCAGAAGAAGAGGAAGGGGGTCACAACCCATTCGCATTGGGTACACCCATTGGGAAGCAAAGCTCGAAAATGGGATCTTTTTTCAAGAGGGAGGGGGTGGGGAAGATTAGAAGCTTGTTAGGGTTTGAGGGAGATGGCTGTGACCGGTAGAAGAAGATGAAGAAGAAAAGGGAGAAGATGAAGAAGGGACAGTGATTAGTGAAGTAATAACTTGTGCAGCAAATTCGACAGCTAGTGTCATTTTCTGTTTTGGAGAGAGATGGCGTTGATGTTTTGTTTTTTATATTTTGAAAAATTGGAGTGGAAGCAAAGAGGAAAAGAAAATGCCTTGGATTTTTATTTGTTAAAAATCTCGCACTAAGGTATACGGGAGGGAGAAATTAGTAAGAGGGTGCAAGTGTGACGAGGAAGAAAGCATTTGGTGGAGCAGTGAGGTAAGGTTTGACTCTTCGAAGTTAATATGCGCCACGTTTTCTTCTCCCTCATATTTTGCTCGTGAAAGCAGATAAGGATTTTAGAACACAAAATTGATTTAATTACTTTTTAGTCTATAAAATCCATAATAATTCTTAAATATTTTAATTTTTAAATGAAGTAAAATATTATTTTTAATTCTTTAAATTTATTATATAAAGTCTAAAATCATAATTTTTTTTAATTTTAAATAATTAAAATATTTTTTTATAAATTTATAAGACTAAAAAACTACAAATATAATTAAACCTTTTAAAAAAATAAACTAAATTACACTTATTAAAAAATTAAATTAAATACTTTATAGAGCATGAGTAGTCTTGTGTGAATTTGATTTTAATATGCTAAAATCATTCTTTTGTTCATTAACTGGTCAAAATAATATATTTCTTTTATAACCATTAAGACTTCTTTGGTGTAAGAACAAACTTATAACATCATTTAAGTATTTTTAATGTGATAACATGAATGGTTTGATATGAAACATTTATATTAGTAAAAGTGGAGAGATTTATCGTGATTTATCAAAAAAGTCTCATATAATATAACATTCAATATAAACAAAAATTATAAATTATTTTCCTCTATTCATTAGGATATTTTTTTTAATAAAAGCAAAAGTGACAAGATATTAGGTATCAAAATTGAAATAAGATTGTCTAAAGGTTATAAATGAAGAGGTGTATATTATTTATGGGTATGACTTTAGATTTGATATTTATGCATGTATTTTTAACAAATTTAAGAAGAGATCTTAAATAATCTCTAAAGCTGTTATAATTCTCAAAATATTATTAAAGTATTTGTTTTTTATATATTTTTTATAAGTCTCTTAAAAGAATCTTTTAGGAGTATATAATATTTTATTTCTTAAAAAATATATAATAAATATATATTATTTATATTTTATGTATAATCATATTATTTAATTTTTTATTATTAATATTAAATGACTAAGATTAGAGGGTAAATTCAAATTATCCAATAAATCAAATTTTAAACCTTATAATATTAATTTTTAATCTAGTGATATTAAGGGGATTAAAATAAACTTAGTCTGGTCAACCTAAAAATCTAACAAATATGTCAAAAAAATTTGTAATTTAAATTAAACTAAACATATTTTTTTTCTTGTCCTGTTTAGATGATGACTTATGTGACTTAAGATAGACTAGTCAATAGACCTATGTACTAGCCTTGATTTACAGAATAATAATTATATTTTTAAATAAAAATAAAAATAATATTATTTTATTAAAAATATATATATTATAAATTATTTTGATAATGAATTTACTTATTACGAGAATAAGTTTATAACAATCACTTATCTCAATATTTAATAATTAAGATTAATTATTAATTTAGATCAATAATTTATTAAAGTAAGAATGATGATAACAAAAAATAAGTTTTTAACTCTTATATGAATTTATTCTCTTATAATTTATATATTAAATTATTATATCTTAATAATAATTAATTTTATTAATATAATTTAAATTTTAAAAATACTTTCAATTTTATTTTTAATTAATTTTTTTGGTATATATATATATCAATATTTTTTTATTTTCAATTAAGGCAAATTTGCCTCATTAGCCTATTGGTCTAACAAATGGTTAAACTATGTTAAAAATTATGATTCCATTTTAAAATACATTTTTTAAAATTATAAGATCAATTATAGTTTCAATTAGGACAAGTTATCCATTTTTTTTTTACTTAACCTATAGGGTAAAGTCTGACGGTCTTTTGACAACTCTAAGTGACACCTTATCATAATAAAAAATTTGGAAACCCTAACTAAAAGCATATATACAACACAAAAGTAAAATTAAAACGATGGAGCAAGATCACTTGAAACAACTAACAAAATGCAGTAAAAGAACAAAGACTAGGTATAACTATATGTTTCTCTTGTACTCTTAATACTATTTTGAAAAGTAGATCGACCAATTTAACCAAGAAATGATCTAGAAATCGGTCATTTGTTTCCAAATAACTGAATTTTAATTAAATTTGGATAAAATAAAAAAAATCAGTTAAACTAAAAAATCAATTGAGTTTTTTTTTGTCAAATCGATTTTGGTAAAAAAAAAAATTAAAGATCACATTTTTTTAATATAATTATCTTATTTTAACAAGTACTCATTTTACACTCTCTAATATATTCTATATTTGTAATCTTAATTATCATACGTTGATCATAATATTAATCTTTATTAATTTTTTCTTTTATGAAAAAATATTATTACTAATGAACTTATTGTACACTTATTATATTATAAAAATATTATTTTATTAAATCCAATTGTATCCGGTTAAATCTTTAAATCTTAAACTCATATCTTCACCGATTTAATGATTAGTTTAATTTTAAAAACATTGATTCCTAGGTAATGACCTTGAAACACTCAAAGAAAGCTCTAAAAATAGTTTTCTAACTCAAAAACATTTCTCACTCAATATTGGAAATGATATGTGAAAGCAACATTTAAATTAAAATGCTTGGAAAAGATAGAGTTATATAGAATCCAATCTATCAATTTTAATAGATTAAAACTATGTTTTAATCTATTAAGTTTACTTAATTGTAAAATTAATCAATTAAAATTGTATTTTAACAAATTAAAATAGAAAGAACTCAAAATTTCTTCTTAAGGTTCCAAAACATTTTAATTGATTAAAAGTTCAATTTAATATATTAAAAGCAAAACCTTTTGAACTATCCATAATTTTAAGTTATTTTAATCGATTAAAATAATTATTTAATCAATAAAATATAATATAAGAATTTAAGATTTTTTAATCAATTAAAAATTTCCTAATCTAAATATAAGTTCTAAAACTTTTTCAATAAGCTTTCTAATAAGTAATTAAAGATAAACAACTTAAAAGAATCTTATATGTAATGTTAATCAACATGAACCACATCTTAAGTATATATAATTCTTCAATCTTCAAGGAAAAGTTGGATTTGTCAAATATAGCATTACTGTAGCCACGATAATTTTATCCATCTTTGTAGAGTTCCAACAACCTTCTCCTATTTGATGAAAACAATTTATTTGTCTAGTTGAGCAAAAAGTCGACATTAATATATGCATAAACCTCTTCCAAAACAAAAGGTATACATGCACTCGCGATATCATAATGTATACATACATATATTCTCCTAATTGACTTCATCAAATTGGAAAATAAGCAAGATTAAGGCATATTGTTCAAAGTATAACATACACTAAGAAAGAAAGATAGATAAAGAATATTTTGCAAATTACATATCTAAAGGAACAAACAACAAGAAAAACACAATCAAACGTATTAAGATGTACGTATGATTTGTAATCCTCCCAATGTCCTCAGTGTAAAGTACATGTTCTACAAGTTGACCATGAATTTCCTTTAATTGGTTAGCCCATATGTTAAAAATGTGCAATACAAATCTCATGGTGCGTCCTCTCGTCCAACACCCATGGAGTCCATCCTAGCTAGTATCATCTAGCTAAAATGGAGAAAAAGAGGTGTCACTTTATTTACAAGAGGCACATATGTGACAATATCAATGACTCGTTTACTTTACGTTGCTCAAACCAACTTCAATAATGTCTTAAGGAGCAACGCAAAATCATCTTCTTCATACTTGGAAAGTCAACAATCATCAATCTTAACGAGATCTTATTATGAGAAGAGTGACTTTGGGAACAAATCAAGTTATAATTTATCTAATTTGTTGTTTATTTATATAGGACTTCGACATTTCAATACTTTTTTGTTATATAAATGGACTTAAAAAATCCAAAAAACATAAGTTCGAACTTTTAGTTATAAGATTTAGAAGCATTTTCTCCGTAGTCCTTAACTTTATATTTTTCAAGTTCTACTACATTCTAAATTCTAATGTACTACATTCAAGTTTTGCTAACTCCAATAATTGTTAATAAGAACTTTAAATTGCTTTTTAATGGCTTTTTAGACTTTTAGGTTAATTTTTCCAATATGAATTTTATTTCATTGAGTGATATTGATTATTTTATGATTCTAACCATTTATAATTCATTATAATCAATATAATTAAGATTATTTGGTTAAATTTGATCGATTACATCATAAAATAATTCTAGATTATTTGAGTTACTTGTGTTTTGAATATAATAAAATAGAAGTTTTCGAACCTACAATGTAACGCTTACTTTATGAGGTGTATTTAAGTATAAACAAAAGCTTAAAACATGAGAGAAAGAATGGTACACATTATTGTAAGAATTTTAACATAATTTATCCATAATTTAATTAGTAGTGTGATTCTTGCTTATTTTTATATTTTAAAATATATTTTGTGTTATCTTGATTCTTTAACACTTTAAATGTAAGATTCATTTTATTTTTTCCTCACTATTTTATTTTAAGGATCCATTAAAGAGTTTACTTTACTCTCTCTTTTTTACATTATTTTGTTTTTACTTTGTTTCATTATTTCTTAATTTAGTTTTTCACTTTGCTTAGAAATGCACAAGCTTAAGTGTGGATAATTTGATGACCCGTATTTTCTATACACATTTATATCATTATTTTACATTAAAAAACCTTTTTATTTATGTTTTTTAATTATTTCTTATAGTTAGAATAAATTGGCCTTAATATACATAATATTCTTTGTGAGAATTTTAACATCTTCATCCATAATTTAGTTAGACTATATCTTTTGGTTACTATTTTACTATTAGTATTTGTTAAAGAGTTTACTTTACTCTCTCTTTTTTTACATTATTTTGTTTTTACTTTGTTTCATTATTTCTTAGTTTATTTTTTCATTTTGCTTAGAAGTGCACAAGCATAAGTGTGGAGAATTTCATGACCCATATTTATAGTTTTATTTTACATTGAAAACCCTTTTCATTTTGTTTTTTTTTTTAATATTCTTCTTAATTAGAATAAATTGGGTAATTATTTTTATTTTATATTTTTGGCTAATATAACATTTGGTTACTATTTTGACTATAATTTTTTTTACATATTATTTTTTTACTAATTCGGCTTGCATTGAATTTTAAATATTTAGAACTTTTAAACAAATATATGTTTTGCATGATTTGGAGTGATTTTCTATTTCTTTGTGATGGTTGAAGTTGAGGTAATTTTTTTATATCTTTGTATGGGAGTTCTATATGAGTTTGAATTAGCGTATGGGACCTAATTAAACCTCATATTTAGGTCCACTTCGTGTAACTCTAAATAGAGTTTTATATATAGATCATTAAACTCTAATTAGGATGAACTATATTCATTTTTTTAGGACTTTAATTTGAGTGTTAATTTTTTATTTTAGCTTACATTTACAATTTTTCATTTTAGCTTATAGTTTCAACTTTCCTTCCTTTTTTTCTCTTAATTTTTTGAATTTTATTTCATTTCATCTTTCTTTTGATTTCTTTAAACTTCATTAGTGAATAACTAAATCTTGAGGTTCAATCCATGGAATTAATATTGTACAATCCAAATTGAATTTTACAGATAATTATTTTATGATTTAATTTTGTTCTTTTTCTCTCCAAATTCCGATTTGCGTTTTTTATTTTTATAAATTGAATTTGAAGTTAATTGAATCTTGATTTAATTATTAAATATGAATTAGAATAAATGATATTTTGATTTGATTCGTAATTTTGGTTTAATCATTTTTTAAATTAATTGATTAATTGAACTAGTTAAATGTTAAACATTTTGGATACTATTTTTAGAGATATGTGATATGAGAAAGGTTGGGAATTTAAAATATGTGGAATGATATTTTTTTTATGAATTTAATTTCCTTGTGCTATTATATTTTTTAGGTTTAATTATTGTTTTTCTAAGTTTAATTCTTGCATTTCCAATTTCAATTATTGAGTTTTATTTTTTTCATTTTAAATAAAAATCCCAACTTAATTTGTAATGAAGTAAATTAAAGATTGAATATAATTGATATGTGTCATTATGAATAAACCTATGTTGTGTTGTATTACAAATTTTATAGAAAACCTAGATGTCTATGATTTCAAAATGACATTGAATATCATTTTATCATTATTATTATCACCATAAATCACATATCTACGAATATTCTAAGAGTATGATTTTGTCTCCGATTATATGTTTTGGCAACCATTATTTTGCTATCAGAGCAACTCCTTGACTTTTAGGTAAACATACAAAATGAAGTTAAAAAAATGATTTTGGTACCCAAGCCACTTTGAGTCCAAAATTATTAGAAACATTATATGACATTTTAGGCTTTTAAGCAAATTGGTCACTTGGAATGCGATATTTCATGATATTCAAGACTTAGCCCAATGACCTTATTTCATATATAATAAAAATTAATTATAAATGGAGTGTTAAACAAATTGTGTAGTTGAAAAATCTCTAAAAAATTATGTTTTCTTCCATGTTAAATCCAAGAACAATTCTACTTGTAAAACTTTTATGAGAACTCAAAACAACATCAAGATTGTCTATGTCTTAAGTGAATTTTTTAAGTGTTTAAATAAACTAATGACCTTTAAATTATAACGTCTTGCAATTTTCACAATCACATAATTACAAAAATAATTGTTATAAATTATTTCTAATACTTCAAATCAGTTTTTTGAATTGTTAATTTATTTTTGTAATTGCTTAACCTTATCCTTAAGCCGATTGTTCATGTCCTTATTTTCAAATACTACATCTTCTTGTATTTGTCTAATAAATTATTAAAGAGAGTATAATAAATAATCATAATTATTACATAAATTTCAAAGTTATTACTAACCTTACTCACACATTAAATGTTGGTCATGAAACAAAATTTGACATACTCTTTATAAACTGGATGACTCAGTCCAGGATGTCATGTGATCTTCATCAAGACAATTGTTCATACCTCTGCATTTGTTGTTTGAATACTCCAACTTCTTAACCTTTGTCTAATAAATCATTGAAGATGTCTAAATGATAGCATGAATTTCAAAGTTATCATTAACCTTACATGTAAACTTAATGTCAAGCGTGAGGAACAGCACCGACTTCGCTTCCTCGATAATAGACTACTTAGTCGAGGATATGTGATCGGCTCGCCATCGTTATCCCAAATTTCATTGAAGCTTGTTCGGTCTTCTTAAGTTTTTTTTCTGCTTGTTTTTTTTATATTATTATTCTTTGAATACTCCATATTTGACTTGACCTTGTTTTGCTTGCACATCCGAACACATGTAAATTTAAGTAAGAAATAACATTGCTGTTTCGTGGCCATACCTCTACTAATTCTTGTTCCTCAGATTGGCTGACACAACAACTTAACTTTATCCTTAGCCCGATTGCTCACACCCTTGGGTTTATCGGTCTAAATGCTTCAACTTTTTGGCCGTCTGATAAATCATTAAAACTACTATCATCTTTCAACTTTAATATAGATTTTGAATCAATTTTCCACAATATTTTAGTTCTTTGAGAGAATATTAGTTGCATTGAAGGAATTTTTGAAGATTTGTCTATTTTAAATTTCAATATCAATTACTTTGTGTAGTAGGACTTTATTGTTCTTTTACTTAGTTATTTTGTTTTTCCTATTGTGGATGGTTTCTCAAGTGATAAATGTTTAGTTTCTTTCATATAATCATGGTTTATAATTGTATTTTTGAAATCTGCGATTTATAAATCTTGCGCCAATGGTAGGATATCATTGGTGATGGAGAGTTTTTTTTTTTGATTCAAGAGAGAACTCTTAAATATATTGGTTGATATACTATGGTAAAAGCGTTATGTTGTTTGAGTGAAAATATTAGTTGGTGTAACTAAGAACTTGGTGCTCTTGAAATTAGAAAACTTTTGTATAAATCTTGTGTATCTTTAACGTAAAAACGCAAGATTCCATTGAGAAATTGGGGAGAGAAAATAAAAAAAGAAGAAAAGCGAAAGTTATTTCATATATTGATTGAATACAAAAGATGAAAAAGGCGATTATGCAATTAATTAAAACTGCATAAACTGATGCTTAACAAACGATAAAAGGCTACGTGCAACTAGCCAGCCTCCTGGTGGAAGTGAATATTAAGAACACTTTGACTTGAAAATATTGTTAGAAAGGTATTGAAAGAATGAGGCTTTGGTGAAAACCATCTGCGGGGTATTGATTTAGGAGGAAATGGGAAAGAAAGATGGAAGAGGTTGGCACCGCCACGAATCTACGACACATGACATCAATATGAAATATGTTGATATGCTATGAAAGATGAATAAGTAATGTAATGACGGCCGCAGTTATTACAATAGATGGCAACTTGATTGGGTTTGAAGATGTTGAAATCACTAAACAAGCTATTGAGTCGTGAAGCTCGAGTTGGTGATAGCGAGCCTGTATTATACTTTGTTAAAAACGCAACAGTGTTTGTTTTTGATGTAGTAGGTGCCGAAAAAGATGCAAAATTAGGTGAATGAAGCGACGAGTTATTGAGCGGGGAATTGATCAAGATTTAAATCGCCTGATTGATGTTGGAATTGGAGAAAGCAAACCTTGACCAGGATTAGCTTTTGAAATAGTATCTGATTAGCAACAACTTGATGGAAGATAGTGGGCTTGATTAAAGCTGACTTAGAAAATTAACGACGAAAACTTATATAGGTCGGCGTATTTGTAGAATCTATTCGTCCAATAAAGTGACAATAAACATCTGCATCCGCGATGATCAACATTATCATCAGAAAAACAATTTGTTGTCCTAGGTAATGGGAGTAGAAGACAGCGAATTGGCTTGACTAGATGACCAGCTCCCTGACGAGGATATCGAAGAGTGTACATTCCGTTGACGTAATCATGAATGCCTTACCATGCAACTCAGAAGCGACTTCTAAGCAAAGAAAATATTTTAGTTGTCCCAAATCTTTAATGCAGCTGTTGATTTAGAAAGCGCTTGTGATTATTGATTTCAGCCAAATTGAATCAGCCTCCCGAAGATTACATAAATACATGATGAGTAAACTGATGAAGGAAGAAACATTTTTTCTTCATAAAAAGAATGATCAGTTAAGAGATTGTATTAAACAATTGAAAGAAGAAATGGTGTTGCAAGCCGCTACTTGACTAACTTGTTTTAATCTCGAAAGGGATTTCTGGTTAGCAGCCAGAACTTATTTGCTGAAAGAGGTATCGCCGAGGTGGGATCATATCCGCTTCCTCATTAGATCTCGAAGGAAAGCAATTATTAACGTCAGATTGAACAAAGATATTGATTAACAAACCTAAATGCTGAAACATGATCTAATAGTGATAATTTTAACAACATGAGAAAAAGTGTCTAGGAAATCTACTCCTTAATTGAGTGAAACCACCAGCACTAATTGCTTTATGCATTATGTCTTCTAATAGACCATTAGCTTTATATTTGGTTTATAAACCACATTTACAATAGCTATGGTTTTCTTTCAGGGAAGGAAGCTAGTGAAATACCAAGATCTAATTTTCTTAGGCATTACTATTTCTTTTGTAATAACATTGAAATCAAATTGAAAGCCAATGAAGTCCAACTTTATAAAAGTAGTGGACAAAATTGTTGAAATAGCGAAATGTATTTCAAATGTTTTGGGAATAGTTTGCGATAAAGAAGAGCAAAGATGAGAATAAATAAATCTTTGTTTTAAAATTCATTGGTGGTATCATCTCTTGAAGAATTGCAATAAGAATCTGGGTGTTGAGGCATTAAAACCTTTAAGGAATTGATGAAGTCTATAGAGTCATCTGGTACTTTTTCATTCTAGTAGACCTTGAATGTTCGGTAATACGGTCGTTTGATTGACTCTGTAAAATACTTGGAAGGAAATATCTTGAGGATTTGAAAAACGGATGCGCGCGATTAGGCAGTAGCGCTGCTTTATGCATGAGATTGTTAGAGATCAAAAAAGAATTGAAAAATCGATCAATCGTGAAAAAGATCGGATGTCATCATGACGAATATTAGTTTTAACATGGGAAATTCATTTCATAGAATATCACATTACGGATATGAAATTTCTCGTATAAATAAAGTCATATAACTTTCTTGTTTGCTTGATTTATATCCGGAAAACACTTTTCTAGCTCTAAGATCTAGCTTGCTATGGTTGTTGTGAATTGTAGATAAAACAAAGACATAAACAACTTTAAAATCATCAAACGAGGAGTTGATTATCTAAAATTTGGAAAATTGGTTCTGGCGGTTCACTTGGTAACTGTTGATTAGGTAGATAGCATGAATAGCGGCGTAGGACCCGAAAACATTTTGGAAGATTGGCTTGAAATAGCAATCACGTGTGACATTCATTATGTATTGATGGCACCTCTCCACACCACTTCCATTTGTTAGAGGTTTCTACCTACGAAAAGTTTGATACGACATCTTACCATTTTCTATCATAGATTAAGGATAGAAAAACTCTTTCCATTAATGATTGAAAATTTTAATGGCCCACAACCAAATTGGTTTCTAACAAGGGTGGTAAAATTGTTAATCAAACTCTGGTCTCCATGTTTACTCTTCATAAGAAAAAGTGTAGCTATTAAGAGAAATCATTATTAATAGTAGAAAATATCATGACTATATATGAAGATGCTGATGGGTTATATCCTAATATGATCATTTCAAAAATTATCTTTGGAAACATGAATATTGTTATTAAAGGGAAGTTTATGTTACTTGAAATAGAATGACATACTTCGCAGTATTTTTAAAATTTCTGCTATATTATGAATGTAAGGAAAATCTTTAATCACTATTTCAATTATCCGTTAGGGAATTGTCCCAATTTGTTGTGCCAGGTGGAGTTAGAATGATTCTAAACATGATATTAATGTTGATGTTCGTCATGCGTGACTGATCGAACGCTATTCTTGATGTTACTAATAAGAGACCAAAGAAAAATAGTATGGTGTTTAAAATGTGTCTGACCATCTTTGGTCGGCATGCCCACGATCATCTTTGATGTAAGAGCATCTTTAAATCCTAGCGATGGTTAGAAGAAAAATCGGTTCTGAGTGGAGATCAATAATAAGTTTTTGGCGAAATTATATTAAATTCAAAATTGGGAATATGAAAGAACATTATAGTGTAAGGCTATTTGAAATTAAAGCGTGTAAGCACTATTGGAGGTGACATGATTGCAGATTAGGTAATTTCACATATCATAAAGGTTTGATTTTTTAGTAAAATTAAAAATGATTTTTTAATTACTAGTTACACATGATGTTAGCCCGGTGTAATGCATAATCAGATATGAAAATACAGCACGGAGTCTTTGATGAATTGCCATTATTATTTTATAAAGCTGATTGACCACTGGTAGTGTCCTTGGTGATTTTTGAAGGTTTTCCGCAAAGGAACATTATTAGGTGCATGTCTGACTAGGAATGTGGTAGCAAAGGATTCCATCTGAGTCCATTATTAGGAATTAGGAGTGATATATCTGCCCAATGGAGTACAATTCCTGGAGTAGATCGAAAATTCTAAAATGGTCTCCTTTGAGAAACAGTTTCTTGTGTATCTTTACGATCTTGCATTATCGATGTTATATAGTGCCTTTGTGCATTGTTGATCAGCTTAAAGTTCGAGGATTATCGAGAGAGCATCATGACATTGCATCTCGTCCATGAGGTCATAAAGAGGATCGTCTTCTTGTGGAATCTTGATGACATCCGAGTGGTGAATTTCAATTTGTTTTTGAAGAAGAGTTCGCCTACTCCTCCTCGAGAATGGTGGTTGGTACCATTCAATGTCTTGGAATCAAGAATCATTCCGGGGTTCTCACACGAGGTGCATAAATAATCACGAGCTTGAAGGATTCGAAAGATTTCGTTGATCCGCGATTTGCGTGCATTCTCGTTAGTAGTTGAAGAAGTAACAAAAAGCTCCATCTTTTCCTGATATGAAAAAACCCGGCGAAAGGATCACGGCTAGATGCGGCTGAGTGTTAACCCACTCGATACCATCGTGTAAAAACATGGATTCCATTGAGAATTTGAGAGAAAACAACAAAGAAGAAAAATTGGTGTATTTCACATATTGATTGAATACAAAAGATAGAAAACTTACTTATTCAGAAGAAAAAAACAAGCTAAATATAAGAAGAAAAAAGACAGTTATGCAGTTAGTCTAACCTGCATAAACCAATGCTTAACAAATAAAAAAGACACATGTGTAACTAATATAATCTTTCTCCTTTTATTCCTTGCGTACACTTTTGTAATTATTTTTATATGTTTTTATACTTTCTTTAGTCAATATTGTGTAATTGAGTTCCAAAAATTTAATTAAATGATTGATAAATTTTTCATTCTTACAACATTCAACTTAATTCCTTTTAAACTAAATTTATTTTTCAAACATTTATAACTAATTAATTGAAGATGTCGTCTCATTTACGTCATCTTAAATTATATAAACTTATTTGAACTTCTCCTAATTTTTTTTCTTTTTTATCTTATTCTTTTTATTCTTATATTTAATACGACTTTTGTCACATCCAAAACATATAAAGTAAAAAGAAACAATATTATATTTCTTGATATTCTGTTTATAATTAGACTTCTTAATTTTATTTTGATTATTTTTTCTCAAAAATCTACCATTTCAAAAACTTAATTAAATTTAAAAACTTGCTTTCTTTTTTTGAAAGATTTAAAGAAAAATAACTAAATTTGAGTAAATAAAATTATAAAAATTATTAAATAATTCACAATTATAATAACAAATTTCACGTAGTAATAATCAAATAAAAATTACGTCTTTATATCTTAATCCTATCATCTTTTCGTATTATTAGCTCACACATTAACTAATTGATAATTTAATAATAGAATGTTTAACTATTACTAAGTAAAAATTTGTTATTGTTAACCATTTTTTTATTCAATTTATTATTCTTCTGAATTCAATAATTTTTTAAAAGAAAAAAATTATATAACCTAATCAATTACCATACGAACACAAACCTCTATCTACCACAAATACAAAATAAGATTAAAACATTAAAAGCATATACATAATTTAAAAAACAATTAAATAAACATTTAGAGTTTACAATTTAGAATAAAACGCTATGAAAATAATTACCAAAAAAAATTAAAGATAAAATTATAATTTAAAATGAAAATAATTTAAAATAAAAATTAGTTATATAATATGAAATGTAAAATGATATGAAATTTTTTGAATATTTATATTATATATAAACTATAGATAAAATATCTTTTTATTATTTTAATGTTATATAATTTTGTTTATTATATGAAAATGATTTGATTAAAAACATAATAAACAATATTACATTATGAAGCAAAGTTTAATATTTCTAGTGTCCAATTTTATTATAACGTTATATTTTGGTCATTGAAAATTTAATATTTATATTAATTTTAATTTTATATTTATATGTAATGAAATATTTTTATTACTTTATTTTTTTAAATAAAATAACTAATATAGTAATTTTTGAATTAATTTGATTAAATATGTAATAAAATGTATTACATTATAATAAAAAGTTTAACCTATGGAAAAAATAAATACAAAATAGAAGTATTGAAAAAAATATTATAATAAACAAATATTAAATACAAAATGAAAAAATATATAAACTATAAAAGTCATAAATCATTAGAATTACAATAATAATATTTTCTTTAATTCAGTTCCCTATAAAAATAATATAATTTAAAACTATAAAAAAATATTTTTAAAAGTAATAAAAATTATAAAAATATTTTAAGATAAAAATAAAAGAAGAATAAATTTAATTAAAAAATGCAAAAAATTAGAAATAATAATTGTTTTATTTTATTTTATTTTATTATTTTTAAAAATTAATAACAATATATAGTCTTTAATTTAGTTATTAATTTTTATTGTTAACCATTATTTTAAATTATTAATAATGGTATATTATGTTTAAGTAATTTTTAACTGTTTATATATACATATATATATATATATATATATATATATATATATTTCTTCAAAATAACAGTTTTAAAAATGGTTTTAAAATATTCATTTGTTTTATTAATTTGTACTGAAAAAATAGAAAAATAATATGTTTTAAAAAAATGGTTTTAAAATATTAATTTAACTCGTAAATTTAACAAAATTAAAAATTGTATGCTAATACAAAAGCAAAATTGTGAAATATATTTTAATTTTAAAGAAAATAATTAAAAAAATTATAAACTAATTTTATCAAACTTTTTTTTTTAATTTCGAAAACATAATTTTATCTATCGTGCTTTTACTAGGCTATCTATTTTTTTAGTTAATATAGAGTATTTTAAATTTAATAACCCTACAAAATTGAACACAGGACACACATTTTATTACGCCATATTTCTAAAATTTGTATAACTGTAATACATTTTAAACAATATAATTAATAGCTTAATTGTTAAATGAGGAAGCAGGCGCTATATTTCACACAATGCATAACACCGTCTTCTCTCATTCTTCACTTCCAAACTCAACTCTCTTCCGTCGCTTCTTCTGAATCGCATTTGGCAACAGCTTCCGTTTGGTTTTCTCTGTCGTTTTTGTTATTCTCTGCGTTTCGTAGTCTTCAATCATGGCAAAAGGCGTAATCTCAGATGAAGAAGGTTAACCCTAGAAACTCCATAATTCCTCTTTGCATTTTCATTTTCCCTTCGAAGTTTCTGACATTTTCGGTTCCTTTGGGTGTTCAATGCGCGCAGACGACGTCGAGCTCGACGAGGAAGAGAGGGAACCTGTTGATGGGGACGAATTGGAAGAGGGTCGCGATGTGGATAACGAAGATGAGGATGAGGAAGAGGGTATGGACTTTGATTGGGTCGAGATTTCTGAACTACGCGTTGTTTGAATGTTATTTTTGTTTTATTTTTTTTTTATTTTTTCAGTTTTTTGTTTGTATGCAACTTTCTTCAGTGGTGGTGGCGCTTTTGGCTTTGTTAGAAAATCTGGGTATCAAACTAGGGTTTGCTTTTGTTGGGCTGTTTGATGTGAGTGAGAGATTTACATGTGGTAAATGCAGAACGACTCTCTTTGTTAGGTACTTAGGATGATATTTTATTTTTGGAGACAGCTATGAAGTTTAAACCTTGTTGATCATTTCATGACAGAAGCGAAAGTAAACTAACGAATATATTGGATTTCTTTGAGGACGAGATTGGTCTTCTGGCTTGAACATGAAACTAAGTGAATTTAGTATAACTTTTTAAGGAATTCTGATTAGCGTAGTGAATTGTAAATCTTTATCTTCTATATCTGTTCTATAAGGGTAATATCATTTACCCGTTCCATAACAATTTTTCGAAGTTGTGTCTTGGCTGCGGACAATAGTTGTATGAACTAAGGTGTGGTAGACAGAATTCTGGCTGCTGTTTAGTGGTTCCCATTATAAAGACTGATGCTCATTTTAGAGTTTTGTTTGCGTATTTGTTTAAATGATGTTAGCATTTTATGGTTAAGTCCCTTTTGTGATGTAATTTAATTGTCAGTTAAGAGTTTAGCCTTGTTCTTTTTTTGTTTCTGATGCTCTTCATTTTGTTTTTGCTTGTTATATGAATGATGGTGTCTTATTTTCTGGAGTTAATTATGTGCATCTCATTGTTTCTGATACACTTTTTCTTCCCCTCCTCACTTCAGAAGGGCAGGATGAGTATGAAAATGATGGATTTATTGTGGATGACATTGAGGATGAAGAGGAGCAAGATGAAGAAGAGAAAGCAGAAAGTGATGAGGAGCGACAAAAGAAGAAAAAGAGGAAGAAAAAGTCAGTTTTCTGTCATTGTGTCTTTTTACATCTGCTTGTGATTGAAGTTGATGAACTTGTATGTTTAGAGAAGAAATCAGAATGCTTGATTATAGATAAATATTTTTATTACAATGGATATATTTGTATGTCTGTCATGCATATATATTTGATAATCACCCTTGCATCAAACAGCTGATAGGGTTTTCCTCTTAGAAAACTTTGCGCGTGATTTCTAAATGACATAAATTTTTCTTCCATATTTTGGAAGTTCCATGCAAATGGGCTGGTTTCTGGCTACCGCCAAGTTCTTTCTGTACCCCTTTGGAGGCAGATAGACATAGGATTGAAATAAATTTAATTGTGTTCTTTTATCTGTACTTCTTGTTTAAAATTTAATTATCAATGATGCTATCACTTATATTTCTTTACAAATATTTAACAAAATGTCTCTATTTTAGGGAGGAGTATGTCCTTGATGAAGATGATTATGAGTTGCTGGAGGACAATAATATCAATATTCATCGTCGGAAGGTTTTGAAAGTTTTGTATATATATATATATTTCATTTTTTATTAATGTTGGGCTTGAGTGGATAAATGACCATGTTTTATGTACAAATTTTATTGACTAATTTTTTATAATTCCTAAGGAGAGCAAAAAGTTCAAGCGGCTGAAAAAAGGCCGGAGGGACACTGAGGAGGAGCCCTCTGGGCTTTCTGATGAGGAGGAGTTTGTTGGAAGTGGTAAAGTTGGGCGAACTGCAGAGGAGAAGCTTAAACGCAGCTTATTTGGTGATGATGAAGGTGATCTGGTTATGGTGGTTTATGCTTTTGGTTTTTTGTTGACAGTACTTGATTGTTGTTGGAAGACTACTTTCCACACTAGCATGGAGTTTTTAACTTAGAAAAACAATTTTGTGAGGAAGAATTTACTTCAAATATTGTAAAATGTTTCTTGAAAGTGAGATTACCAAAGTAGTATTGAAGTTATTTGAAAATTTCCTTAGATTGTAATGATGACAAAATTGTACATTCTTGGTAAAAGGTACGGAAAGTATTTGTCTTGATGTATTCTAGGTTCTCAATGTAGGTTTTTGGCATTTTACTTGGTATAATAAATTCAAACAATCCCTTGTGAAATGACATTTTGTATGCCACAAGTAATCCATGCACATTCATACATGCACCAATAACAAAGCATTTGCCCACTATGCCTTCCATGAATTACAGGAGCTCCACTTGAAGACATTGCTGAAGAGGAGGAACAAGGAGAAGAGGAAGAGGATGCTGACATTGGAGAAGATGATGAAATGGCTGACTTCATTGTGGATGAAGAAGAAGTTGATGAGAATGGAGCTCCCATGAGGTATTTTAATTTTCATAGTTTTTGAAATTAAGAATCAATTATCTGATCTAAGGATCGGTTACCTTATTCTATACAGGCAGAGGAAGCTGAAGAAAAAGAAAACAAGGCAGGCTCCAGGAGTTTCTTCCTCAGCTCTACAAGAAGCTCAAGAATTATTTGGTGATCCAGATGAGTTGATTCTGAATCGTCAGAAAAATCTTGAAATGAGTGAATACAGAGAGACTAGACTTGAAGATGAATTTGAGCCTATTGTTCTTTCTGAGAAATATATGACAGAGCAGGATGACCAAATTAGGGAGCTTGATATTCCTGAGAGAATGCAGGTCTTCTGTGTTTCCTAATAACTGAAGGACATTTTGTATGAACTGTTTTTTTATTTTTTATTTTTTTATTTTTTTTAGATATCAGAGGAGAGTACTGGTGCTCCTCCATTGGATGGCAGTAGTATAGATGAAGAGAGTCAATGGATAGTTAATCAACTTGGCAATGGAGCAGTCCCTTGGATTTACAAGAAGGTCTCAAACTCACAAAACAATGAAAAGGATGACCTACCAATCGACAAGGATGATATTATCAGATTTTTGGAACTGCATCATGTGCAAAAGTTAGATGTCAGTAATATTTCCTCCTTTAGTTTATTGCATCAGTTGTTAGTTTTATGATATCTTAATTTTCCTAAGGCAGAATTTTTTTCTTTAGATTCCTTTCATTGCTATGTATCGGAAGGAGGAATGCTTAAGCCTATTAAAAGACCTGGAGCAGCCTGAAGCTAGTGACGAGAATGACAAGACGCCTACTCTGAAATGGCACAAGGTCTGTGAACTTTGCTAGTCTTTTGGTACTATCATATTGGTAATTTTGTTAAAATTCTGCTAATGAATCCATTGTGCATTGCAATAGGTTCTTTGGGCTCTTCAGGACTTGGACAAGAAGTGGTTGCTTCTTCAGAAGCGGAAGAGTGCCCTCCAGTCATACTATAGTAAACGGTTCGAAGAAGAGTCCCGTCGCGTCTATGATGAAACAAGACTAAACTTGAATCGTCAATTGTTTGAATCAGTGATGAGATCGCTGAAAGAAGCAGAGTCTGAAAGGGAGGTTGATGATGTTGATTCCAAGTTCAACTTGCATTTCCCACCAGGTGAAGCTGGTGTTGATGAAGGACAATACAAGAGGCCGAAAAGAAAGTCCATGTATAGCACTTTCAGTAAGGCAGGTCTATGGGAGGTTGCGAGCAGGTTTGGGTGTAGTCCCGAGCAACTTGGATTATGTCTAACTGTAGTTAACCTTGTAAGTATACTTTGATTTGGAACTACTGTTTGTTTTGACTGTATACTAAAGTTTTTGTTCTCCATGCCCTGTAGCAAGAGTTGGAAGATCCAAAGGAAACACCAGAGGAGATGGCTTCTAACTTCACATGTGCTATGTATGATACTCCTGAAGAAGTACTTAAATGTGCCAGGCACATGGTTTGTATCTAACTTTGTTCTTACTCATTTTAAGGGAGCCATTGTTTGATCTTGTTGGTTATTTTGTTCCAGGCAGCTGTTGAGATAAGTTGTGAACCTAGCATTAGGAAGCATGTTCGTAGCCACTTTCTTGACCATGCAGTTGTGTCAACTTGTCCTACTGCTGATGGAAATACAACGATAGATTCTTTCCATCAGTTTGCTGGGGTGAAGTGGCTACGGGAGAAGCCTTTGTCTAAGTTTGAAGATATGCAATGGCTCCTTATACGGAAGGCAGAAGAGGAGAAACTCATTCAAGTTACTATTAAGTTGCCCGAGGAGTATCTGAATAAGTTGATAGACCAATTCAATGAGTATTATATTAGTGACAGTGTTAGCAGATCTGCTCAACTGTGGAATGAACAAAGGAAGTTGATACTGCATGATGCTATTTTTCGATTCCTTTTACCATCAATGGAAAAAGAGGCAAGAGGTGTATTGGCAAGTAAAGCAAAAAGTTGGTTACTTATTGAATATGGGAAGGCATTATGGAATAAGGTTTCTGTTGGACCTTATCAACAGAAGGAAAATGATCTTGGCTCAGATGATGAGGCTGCTCCTAGGGTTATGGCATGCTGTTGGGGACCTGGAAAGCCACAGACAACTTTTGTCATGTTAGATTCATCAGGAGAAGTGCTAGATGTGCTTTACACTGGTTCCCTTACTTTTAGGTCACAGAATGTTAATGACCAACAACGGAAGAAGAATGATCAGGAACGAGTGTTGAAGTTTATGACTGATCACCAACCACATGTTGTTGTTTTAGGTGCAGTTAACTTGTCTTGCACCCGTTTGAAAGACGATATATACGAGGTTAGCATCTTGGTTTCTATGTCGTGTGTTGATGAAATGGACTGGAGGATGTAATACCTATCCCTGCACTGTAGGAATTCTTGTTCCATTTCATTCTAATCACCTGACCTTACATGGAAATAGGATGATCAACTCTCAATCCTATTTAAATTCTAATCCTGCACTTTGTGATTTCAATTGTTTCTAATATGCCCATTGTTTCTTAAAAACATTGTTTGAATATCCCTTATCATACTGTAGCCCTTTCAAACATCTGCCTTGTTGAATGAACTCTTGGGTTTAGTTAATTAGAAAACACATTTTCAATGTAATTGGACATGTTCACCTGCTACTGGGTAAGTTGATGACATATGATAGTTAAAATTAAGCTCTAATAAATTGCCTGAGTGTAATGGTGTCATTAGTTCATATTGTTCTAATTTATTTGCATATAATTGGTCCTATAGTTGTTTGATTCATTATTCTTCTCTGCCTAGTGGGAAAAGGCTCTTGTAATATGGTGGGTCTTATAAATAGTTTACTCTACTTTTATCAGGTCATTTTTAAGATGGTGGAGGAAAAC